TGCAAGTGGAGCCAAGCGGGTTCGTGAACCCGTCCGTGCAGACCGATTGGTATGTGATGTTATAGGTTTTCTAAATCCCCACAATTTGGGTATCAAAATACGAATTAAACGTTCGGCCAAAGACCTCCAATGTCGGACGCTCGCGATGACGGGTCGCGGGCTGCTCTTGGTAAGTAAATTACATTTCACGTCGTTCACACGTAAACGCACATCCCACAGAATGCCTCACAGACTCGGAGCAAGTGCTTCTTCGTGAGCACCTATTTATGTCGGCATGGAACATAACAGAGAGGGGGGTGTACCTAACACCACGCCCGGCCGCCTTTGTCTCCCCGGTGTTTACGCTTAAGGCGGAGTCGATCTAGGGAAGGCCTCGGGCAGATTTACACTGCGTTCCGTGACGCACACCGAGTACGGGATTACACACACGTACACAGAATGTCGAGTACATTTAGACACACACACACGCCTCAACACAAGATACAACACGCAGACACGTCACCATCACTACCGTCAACCATCATCGATCCACTGCTGGACTAAGGGTCTTCCCCATAGCCGCCACGATCCCGCGATGTAACAATCCAGACAGCACTTACACACACACACACAGCTCATTTAGTCGCTCCGTCTCCTCGGGTGAGCGTCCGCCGCGTGCACACAAATGTATGCACATGTGCACGGTGGACACGCGCACACAGCGATACACACAAACGCATACAAATAACCAGAAGTACACCGACAACGATTACCCCTTCCCCCCAGGGGCAAGTGCTGTTAGCGAGCACCTATTAAGGCCGGCCACGGCACACACAGACAAATACCCACACACACACGCGTGTGTGTGTGTGCACACACCAACGCATCACAGACCTCTCCCCTTCACGCAAGCCAACCACCACCATTAAGGCAGAGAGAGAGACCGCGTACCGTTGCGACCTTGCGCTCCTCGTTGCACTGCCCAACCGCGGTCGTAGCGACGCGTGACTACGCGAGAACAATAATAATGGCGACGAAGATGATTTAGGGATAAAAAAAAAATTACACAAATCGAAGAGGGGAGTAGCGGCAGTAAGCTCACCGTGGTCGTCTCAACCCGGGTCAAGACGCTTTCCTTCTCCTTTCCACTGCCTTCAGCAGGGCGCAGGGAGGGCGGTTTGGGGGCGGGGCGGATGCGTGACGTCACCTCGAGGGGGCGGGGCCTAACCGCCTTTCTCTTTGCACACGCTGTGGGGCCTGGGCGGGCATAGTTTATGGGCGTGGCTTGTGCAGCGTGCGGGCGTGGCTGAGTTTTGGGGCGTGGTCTGGTCAGCTGTGGGCGGGGTCTGGGCTACGAGGGCGTGGTCCGACTGCACGGTTGATCCGCTGTTTTTATTTGGAACCAAGCAGCGATAACGGCTCCCTGGTTCGCGCTGGTGCGTGCACTCGGCACGAATTATTCAAAACAAACAAAACACTCTACACGTTATTCGATAACAATGCCCCTCAAAAGGAAAACACGTCTAATATGTTTGTGCTCAGAAAAAAAACCATTGCCCGAAACGCCGCCCCTTTTTGTGCTGTGCATAAGGGTAATTTCCCGAAACGTCGCCCGATTATATATCTTCGCGTGTGGTATGATTAATTATTGTTAGGCGTGGCTTGGTATCAGTGTGTCGCGTGGTGCCGAGGAGTCGGAAAACGATTCACACGACGCGATTCTGTGCTGACGATCCGATTCCCGAGCAAACCCGACCGCTGATGAGACACGGGATGTCAAAACCGTGCCAGTGTGCTTGTGTTGAATAAATGCTGGTGCAATTATGCACTCCCAGAGGGCCATGAGGCCAATGCGTTGTGTAAAAAAATACTTCGATTTTTGTTTAATATATAGTGAGACAAACAGCACCCATATTTGAAGGTACAGTGAGGGAAAAGAGTATTTTATCCCCTGCTGATTTTGTACGTTTGCCCACTGACAAAGAAATTTTCAGTCTATAACTTTAATGGTAGGTTTATTTGAACAGTGAGAGACAGAATAACAACAACAATCCAGAAAAACGCATGTCAAAAAATGTATAAATTGATTTGCATCTTAATGAGGGAAATAAGTATTTGACCCCTCTGCAAAACATGACTTAGTACTTGGTGGCAAAACCCTTGTTGGCAATCACAGAGGTCACACATTTCTTGTAGTTGGCCACCAGCTTTGCACACATATCAGGAGGGATTTTGTCCCACTCCTCTTTGCAGATCTTCTCCAAGTCATTAAGGTTTCGAGGCTGACGTTTGGCAACTCGAACCTCCAGCTCCCTCCACAGATTTTCTATGGGATTAAGATCTGGAGACTGGCTAGGCCACTCCAGGACCTTAATGTGCTTCTTCTTGAGCCACTCCTTTGTTGCCTTGGCCGTGTGTTTTGGGTCATTGTCATGCTGGAATACCCATCCACGACCCATTTTCAATGCCCTAGCTGAGGGAAGGAGGTTCTCACCCAAGATTTGACGGTACATGGCCCCGTCTATCGTCCCTTTTATGCGGTGAAGTTGTCCTGTCCCCTTAGCAGAAAAACACCCCCAAAGCATAATGTTTCCACCTCCATGTTTGACGGTGGGGATGGTGTTCTTGGGGTCATAGGCAGCATTTCTCCTCCTCCAAACACGGCGAGTTGAGTTGATGCCAAAGAGCTCCATTTTTGGTCTCACCCAGTTGTCCTCTGAATCATTCAGATGTTCATTGGCAAACTTCAGACGGGCATGTATGTGCTTTCCTGAGCAGGGGGACCTTGCGGGTGCTGCAGGATCAGTCCTTCACGGCGTAGTGTGTTACCAATTGTTTTCTTGGTGACTATGGTCTCAGCTGCCTTGAGATCAAGATCCTCCCGTGTAGTTCTGAGCTGATTCCTCACCGTTCTCATGATCATTGCAACTCCACGAGGTGAGATCTTGAATGGAGCCCCAGGCCGAGGGAGATTGACAGTTCTTTTGTGTTTCTTCCATTTGTGAATAATCGCACCAACTGTTGTCACCTCACCAAGCTGCTTGGCAATGGTCTTGTAGCCCATTCCAGCCTTGTGTAGGTCTACAATCTTGTCCCTGACATCCTTGGAGAGCTCTTTGGTCTTGGCCATGGTGGAGAGTTTGGAATCTGATTGATTGATTCTGTGGACAGGTGTCTTTTATACAGGTAACAAGCTGAGATTAGGAGCACTCCTTTTAAGAGTGTGCTCCTAATCTCAGCTCGTTACCTGTATAAAAGACACCTGGGAGTCAGAAATCTTTCTGATTGAGAGGGGGTCAAATACTTATTTCCATCATTAAAATGCAAATCAATTTATTACATTTATGACATGCGTTTTTCCGGTTTCTTTTGTTGTTATTCTGTCTCTCACTGTTCAAATAAACCTACCATTAAAATTATAGACTGATCATTTCTTTGTCAGTGGGCAAACGTACAAAATCAGTATGGGATCAAATACTTTTTTTCCTCTGTATAAGGGTGTCTCGCGTACTCATCCGTGTTCAATATGACGCACATTTTACAAACGCCCAAAGCGTCAAACGGCTAGGAACAAACAGCACCATCAAAGCCGTGACCACTGCAAGAGTTGACACGTCTCTTGAATTGGACAAGAAGACGGAGGGACCGAATTCCACGTGCCACGCGGCGCCAGGGAACAAGCATAAGGGGCCGTCCATAAATGACGTGACGCGATTTTTAACGATTTTTGACCCCCCCCCCGTCACACGGCGTCACAAAAAGTCAGACCCCCCCCTCTGAAATATGACGTCACAAAGCTCTGCGCCCCCCCTAAAATTTTAAATTGTCAATGTGGCGCTGCACTCTGATGTTGTAGGAGTGTTATAACAATTAGTGTTATAACAATTCTATATTTAGTTATAGTTGCGCATTTTGATGTGACGTCACATTTTAACCCCCCCCCCGTCACAAAAATCTGACCCCTCCCCCCTAGTTGCGTGACGTCATTTATGGACGGCCCCTAACGAGGCGTGTTTGTGACCTGCAGTGGCGAGACAAAAAAAAGTCTCACAATGGGCGGGCAGAGGAATCACTGCGTGAAGTTCACGGGTGGAACAGTGACCATGGCAGTAGCGATAGAAGAGTGACAACGGGGTGACTGACCAACGGTGAGCGAGTGGCCAGAGTGAACGAGTGCCACACCATCAATCAAGTACAGCGAAGTGGGAGTTGCGCTCTTCACACCACAACAGTAATCCAGCGTAGGAATACCGCACTAAAAAATAGAAACGAGATATTCTACAACACAAGATTTGGTGCATTGAGTGGTGAATTCAAAGCCGTGCCCACCACATGCGCACACATCGCACGTGTTGCGTGTCATAAGATGCCCCCTGGTGATTCATTAGCTTCTGCGTGCACCTTCACCAATTAAAAGCTTACCATGGGATTAGCATTTTGACAAGTTGATCCGGCAGATAGCAGACACATTACTGTGTCCTTCCCCGTCAACACCACACTTTCTCGCTGAATGGTTATCTTTTCTCAGTGGCACCCAACATCGGCTAAGACCACTGTCCATGCAACTACGGGGCAAGTAAAGTGGTCTGAGGCCCTGCTGCATGTCCCGAACCCGAACACTTAAACCCTAAACCAAGGCTTGATTTATCACGAAATGTTTTCCAGGTGCCTGGTAGGCGGGAGTTGGTATGCATCGAGTAGTCACATCCATAGTAAGACGTTTCCTAGATGTGTTGTGCTGGGTGCATATATTGTGGGTCATAGACCTGTAGGGAACCGGCTCAAATGAAGCTCTGCTCTCCCTAAACTCCATCATAAATCGCCAATCCTTAACTCCTAAATCCTAACCCTTCGCAAACAAAAAAAACAATGAAAGCAGTGTCCCAATCACATTTCATCAAATGAAAGCAAAAACAATAGATTTGAAAAGTACCACTTATGAGTCGGCACAACCAAAGGAAGGTTTGTGGATTAAAATTTGGTCTATTATTGGATTTGTAAAAAATCTGCAGGGAAAGTAATGCCAGACACTTGGTTTATTTCCTCACATATGCAGTGGACAGTAGTCTCTACCCTCATCAACCTCAGCAATATCGTAAAACACGATTCCATCTCCACAGCTGAAGAAAGTGTTAAAGGCCTCACCGAGTTGGCACGATTGCTTCTAAACCTGTGCAACCAACCAAATTACATTTCAACATCGACCGTTGTCCTAACATTGTCACTCATCCTCACCCTGTCATCACCCATGGGTGCCATTTCCATGACTGGTCATGACCATCAATGCCAGCCAATCCTTTTAATTAGTGTCATTTTCTTGCCAGAATTGCTTTTCGTTTCTTAATCGTGAAACTGCTGCTGTGTGTTACGTCTCTATTGGTTTGATAATTCTTCGCGGAGAGCTGGGTGATTTGGCTAATACCGGCATACTGTTGCAAACAGCCCCTATAGGACCCTTAATGTTTATGGGCAGATGGACTAGCAGGCCCTAATGTCCTCACTTAAGAACAGTGTCCTCTGTTGAGCTCTTTCATTCAAACAACACGGAAGGAGGGAAATTGATTCTGAGCCAAATAACCCATGAACTCTTGACAAGGAATATCAACGGTGAATCAAAGTCGACAACACACTGCCAAAGCAACTGCAAAAAAATTATAAGAGCACGTAGGTCAATCTAAAGATGTACCAGCACATACTTTAGTGAAAACATAAGGCAACTAGTACAACAACAACAAAAACATACATTTTTATTGGTATTACTTTTGAAATTGTGACTATTTACAACAAATACAACCTCTATTATGGAAAGAACATTACTGTGAAAATATAAAGTAAGATCAAATATGTCCCCTCCATTTTTTTACACTCAAGTGTCTATGGATGCTATTGACGCGATGAATTATCACATCCTCAGCGCATAATCTTCTCCAGGATCTGCCTGATCATCTTCGCGTCACCTTGACCCTTCAGCTCTCTCTGCACGAGTCCAATCAGCCTGTTCAGAACCTTCACGTTGCCATCTTTCACCAGCCCCACCTGCAGGGAGATGAGAGCATCGGTTAAGATCGCTGCTGTCCTCCTGCCACTGCATGTTGCATCACATGGCAATTGGTGACTGTGCAGGGGGGGTGGGGGTGGGGGGGGCAAGGTGGCAGGGATACCGAAAACATTAACGGAGGCCTGGGACAAAATGCCAGGTAAGAACTCCTTGGCTCTCTCTAAGGCCCCCCCCCTTAGATCTGAAGCATGGGCAAAACATGGCTAAACTGTCAGCCCTCCCCCCCACCCACACTTTTAGCCGCCCTGCATGGTGGTCACAAGCAGGATTCTCATAAAAAAAATACTGTTAAGGCTCAGTGAGGCTTTGTTCAGTAAAGGACATTGAGAATTGCGCTGCTCTAATTCTAGATAAATAAAATACCCCACAACAGAAAATACCCTGCACTTCAGCTCGGCTCCAAATGAACAGAGCCAATGAGTAGCTGAGAACTCTGCTCATTGTCACCTCTTTGGGGTGCGCGTCCATGACGGCCTGGCAACAGGCCTCCAGCGGGGCTTGCTCCGACAACTGCCACAGGCCCCGCGTCTGTACCACCTCCGTGGGACTCTGGCCGCGTGTGGTGCAGAGGTCGGCCAAGACCTTTGGGGGACACCAGGTAGGAAAGGTCAGAGGAGAAGTATGGAGGGGAGTAGGATTGGAAGTGGGTGCCAGAAAGTGGAAGACAGAGGACAGGGGCACTTTGTGTGTTCAGAGCTGCGAACAGCAAATACCAAAGCACCTGGAATGGGCTCAATGTCGTCAAATATCAGAAGCTAAGCGGGGATGACCATGGATAGTGCTTGGATAGGTGACCAACCTTCACAGATTGTGGGCGGCAGAGGACAGTGCAGGAAAATTCATTGTGGTAGTCTACTTCTATGATCCCCGCTTACATGCTCCTGGTCTTCAGCATCCTGCACTGATCAGCGTGAGCTTTGGTCGAATAACCCCTATGACCCACATAGCATGAGGCACCTCATCGAGCAGCTGATTGGCAAAAGGGCTTATCGTGCATGATCCAGGATCAGCCCTGCGAAGCTTCCAATTGGTGACGAGATCGGGCAGACGCCGTGTGATGTGGTCATTGGCTCTTTGATTACACTGCATTTTAATCACGCCAATGCCTCTTGATATTGGCCCCATCATATTCAGTTTTGTGAAGATAAACAAACACGTATTCTAACAATAAACAGGCAAGCATCTGTTTCACCACATAAACGTAATAACTTCTTCTAGCTGCCTATTGGTCTCTGTTTAAAATAATACTGCTGGAAGACATTGGTCCAACGAGGCCCACCGATTTAACACTCTCAATGTTATTTTATTTCACGTGTTTAAACATAACCTTGACCGTTTATTTTGTATTCTATTACCCACAATCTGGAGCGGGGCAGTGGTGCACTGTGTTTTGAACCTGGCGACCCAAGTTCAGTTCCCGGTCAAGGCGAACATCAGTGACGGGCGATGTTTGAATGGATCCCGGAGTGCTCCCCCCACCACCCCCTTTACCAACCAGCATGAACAAGCGTGGTGAAGTACGGTCATGAAGGACATGGCATGGAGGGGGGGGGGGGCCTTGGTCCACCATCGTATTTGACGAAAAAATGTACTCAAAATCCACCACATCGGCATATAAGAAACTTGTGTACATGTTTCAACAGGCAGCCGCAAAGTGTCAAATTACGTGGAAACATCGCAACAACCAAAGCAGGAACGTCCCACTTCTGCATCTGCAAATGCTCATGCTGTGCACGGATCACAAGTGCATGACATGGCTAGCCCGATACACGAGCGCACAGTGTACAAGTACAGCCCACTGCTGGATGAAGGCCTCCCCATGCCGTGTGGGTCTCGGGGATAATTTTACCATACTTCACCATGTTGGGCAGCGTGGGTTCAGTGAAGGGAGTATAATAGCTGGGTCATAAAAGTACAGTACAACAATGGACTTTGCTGCACTGCCCTCTGCTGACAATGACGTAGGACAGCCCCACAGCCGCCTATGGAAACCTGGTGTATGCAGTAATCAATTACTCAAGGATTGTCCAGGCTCAAACCCGCTAAGCCTCCGAGATGTAACAAGCATGGGCATATTCCGGGTGACTGGTCGTAGTCGCGCAGGATACACCGAATTGAATGCATCGTCAGTCTAAAAACATTCAACAGATTCCTATTTTGGCTTCCCGTTAAGGTTTTTTTGGCAGGTAATCTCTACGGAGCAAGAACATAGCCAAATCGAGCCGTTACTTGGCCTCTGTCCAATGTGACCATCTTTCTATTTTAAGGCAACAAACGATTCCACAGCAGCTGCCGCCCCGCTGAGAGCAAAGAACCGGGCTAGAACTCACCAGCTTGCCTGTAGCCGGCGAAACGGACCCCTTCTCCACGAGGTCAAAGAGTTCCCCCAAGGCCGCTGGCTCGACAGGGCTGTCACACAGAAGGCACCACATAGGGGGACATTAACCACACGCCGACAGCCCAAGCGTGCTGTGTAGACAAGCGAGCTCCGTGCACAAGCGAGCTGTGTAGACAAGCGAGCTGTGTGGACAAGCAAACTGTGTAGACAAGTGAGCTGTGTGGACAAGTGAGCTCTGTGGACAAGTGAGCTGTGTGGACAAGTGAGCTCTGTAGACAAGTGAGCTGTGTGGACAAGCGAGCTGTGTGGACAAGTGAGCTCTGTGGACAAGTGAGCTGTGTGGACAAGTGAGCTCTGTGGACAAGCGAACTGTGTAGACAAGCGAGCTGTGTGGACAAGCGAGCTGTGTGGACAAGTGAGCTCTGTGGACAAGTGAGTTGTGTAGACAAGTGAGCTGTGTGGACAAGCGAGCTGTGTAGACAAGTGAGCTCTGTAGACAAGTAAGCTGTGTAGACAAGCGAGCTGTGTGGACAAGTGAGCTCTGTAGACAAGCGAGCTATGTAGACAAGTGAGCTGTGTGGACAAGCGAACTGTGTAGACAAGTGAGCTGTGTGGACAAGTGAGCTGTGGAGACAAGCGAACTGTGTAGACAAGTGAGCTGTGGAGACAAGTGAGCTGTGTGGACAAGTGAGCTGTGTAGACAAGCGAGCTGTGTAGACAAGCGAGCTGTGTGGACAAGTGAGCTGTGTGGACAAGTGAGCTGTGTGGACAAGTGAGCTGTGTGGACAAGTGAGCTGTGTGGACAAGCGAGCTGTGTGGACAAGTGAGCTGTGTGGACAAGTGAGCTGTGTAGACAAGTGAGCTGTGTGGATAAGCGAGCTCCTTGGACAAGTGAGCTCTGTGGACAAGTGAGCTCTGTGGACAAGTGAGCTGTGTGGACAAGCGAGCTGTGTGGACAAGTGAGCTGTGTGGACAAGTGAGCTGTGTAGACAAGTGAGCTGTGTGGATAAGCGAGCTCCTTGGACAAGTGAGCTCTGTGGACAAGTGAGCTCTGTGGACAAGCGAGCTGTGTGGACAAGTGAGCTCTGTAGACAAGCGAGCTGTGTAGACAAGTGAGCTGTGTGGACAAGCGAGCTGTGTAGACAAGTGAGCTGTGTGGACAAGTGAGCTGTGTGGATAAGCGAGCTGTGTGGATAAGCGAGCTCCTTGGACAAGTGAGCTCTGTGGACAAGCAAGCTGTGTGGACAAGTGAGCTGTGTGGACAAGTGAGCTGTGTAGACAAGTGAGCTGTGTGGATAAGCGAGCTGTGTGGATAAGCGAGCTCCTTGGACAAGTGAGCTGTGTAGACAAGTGAGCTCTGTAGACAAGCGAGCTGTGTGGACAAGTGAGCTGTGTGGACAAGTGAGCTGTGTAGACAAGTGAGCTGTGTAGACAAGCGAGCTGTGTAGACAAGTGAGCTCTGTGGACAAGCGAGCTGTGTAGACAAGTGAGCTCTGTGGACAAGCGAGCTGTGTAGACAAGTGAGCTGTGTGGATAAGCAAGCTGTAGAGACAAGTGAGCTGTGTGGACAAGCGAGCTGTGTAGACAAGTGAGCTGTGTGGACAAGCGAGCTGTGTAGACAAGTGAGCTGTGTAGACAAGTGAGCTCTGTAGACAAGCGAGCTGTGTAGACAAGTGAGCTCTGTAGACAAGCGAGCTGTGTGGATAAGCGAGCTGTGTAGACAAGTGAGCTGTGTAGACAAGTGAGCTCTGTAGACAAGCGAGCTGTGTGGAGAAGTGAGCTCTGTAGACAAGCGAGCTGTGTGGATAAGCGAGCTGTGTGGACAAGTGAGCTCTGTAGACAAGTGAGCTCTGTGGATAAGCGAACTGTGTGGACAAGTGAGCTGTGTGGACAAGTGAGCTGTGTAGACAAGTGAGCTCTGTGGACAAGTGAGCTGTGTGGACAAGCGAGCTGTGTAGACAAGTGAGCTGTGTATACAAGTGAGCTCTGTGGACAAGCGAACTGTGTAGACAAGTGAGCTCTGTAGACAAGCGAGCTGTGTAGACAAGTGAGCTCTGTGGACAAGCGAACTGTGTGGACAAGTGAGCTGTGTGGACAAGCGAGCTGTGTAGACAAGTGAGCTGTGTAGACAAGTGAGCTCTGTAGACAAGTGAGCTGTGTGGACAAGCGAGCTGTGTAGACAAGTGAGCTCTGTGGACAAGTGAGCTGTGTGGACAAGTGAGCTGTGTGGACAAGCGAGCTGTGTAGACAAGTGAGCTCTGTGGACAAATGAGCTGTGTAGACAAGTGAGCTGTGTAGACAAGTGAGCTGTGTGGACAAGTGAGCTGTGTGGACAAGCAAGCTGTGTGGACAAGTGAGCTGTGTGGACAAGTGAGCTGTGTGGACAAGTGAGCTCTGTAGACAAGTGAGCTGTGTGGACAAGTGAGCTGTGTGGACAAGTGAGCTGTGTGGACAAGTGAGCTCTGTAGACAAGTGAGCTGTGTGGACAAGCGAGCTGTGTGGACAAGCGAACTGTGTAGACAAGTGAGCTGTGTAGACAAGTGAGCTCCGTGGACAAGCGAGCTGTGTATACAAGTGAGCTGTGTAGACAAGCGAGCTGTGTAGACAAGTGAGCTGTGCAGACAAGTGAGCCCAAGGAGTTGGGTTTTAACTTTTCTTCCGTCTTTGATCCACAACTCGCCCCAACCCCCAAGATGCCCCGGCACTAAAATGTTCTTCGACTGTAAAAATGAGTTAGCTTAGAAATGAAAACGGCGCAATAAACTGGCCTCCAGCACGTACCTCTGGCCCACGGAGATGCCTCTCTCATTAAGGTTGCCGAGGAGCTCGTTAATCACCCAGCCTATAACCTTCTTGGGCTCGCGGCGGTTCCCATCCACCACGGCCTCGAAGTACTCCACCAGCCCATCGTTCTGTGTACGCGACACAAAATACAACCCTCACCAAAATGAGAATCCAGCCATGCTGTAACTCAACTGCGCAGATGGTTTTCTAGCCACAGCGTAAAGACATGAAACACGAGTCCTTTCAGCAAACTATAACACGCTTGAACACGATACGGCCGGCCGTACCGAGGTAGAACCTAACTCCAGGTAAATTCCCTGGCTCTCTCTGCCCTCCAGCAACTGAAGATAAATTATTTACCAAAGGCCCAGGTAGCACAATGCAACGTGGGACCGTATGACTGAAATCAACGTGATCGGTTCCTGCAGTGACTGGAGAGTACAATCCAAGGAGATTTACCTTGGGCTGAACTGAACCGCACCTAGTGATGGTGGGTAAAAACATAAATCGGACCTTACAATTTAGATTTATATGACGGCCGAACACGATCCCGTCTCAAGATGCCGTAAAGGAACCGTGAGCATATTTAATTTCGCGAGGGGGGCGGTCCGTTACAGGCAGAATAAAGAAAACAGATAATGCGCGGTGAGCCTGGAATGGGGGGGGGGGGGGAGTCAACAGTGCAGTTGACCGGGGGAAGGGAAATGTAAACCAAGTGAGACCCGAGGCAACTCAAGGACTCAGCAGGTGATGCGTTTGTCGGGGCCCGAGTTTGTTGACACGCCACACGTGCTGCTTTCGTAGCAAAACGGAAGTACTCCGTCAACTCCGGATACCACAGTCGCCACTGGACTAGTTTGCAAATGGCCACTGTATAAACCATTGGTATTTAACAAATGACCACTGAGACACGTGTGATTTTATTATCAAGAGCAGTTAAATTTGCGCCCCAAGATCCCACCTTAAAATACCATATTTGAAATTCACCTGCAGCAAAAATTAATGCAAATACTTACAGTGGTTGTGCCGGAGCCTCGGGTCAACCTCACTGTCTAAGCCAGGGGTTGTCAACCTAAACAATAAGAGACATTCTTTTCGAATTCGATCAAATAAAATTCTATATTTCAAGAGCCGCAATGCACGTGGTGAATACGTGACGGTGGCCCTTACCAAGTGACGTCGCGAAGCAGCGGCTCTTAAAGAGCCACCGCATGCGGCTCGGGAGCCGCAGGTTGCCGACCCCCTGGTCTACTCAGAGGTAGCCGGGTGGCTCAGCGGTCACAGCACTGCGCTGCCACCACTGACATCCCGGGCTTCAAATCTAGGTCGCCACCTGTGATTCAACGGGCTTCTCAAGTGTAGCAACGTGATGGTCTCAGCCTGGCCGATGACTGTACACAACGAGAACGTAACGTTCAATTTGGTTCTCCACTTAATTTGGCAAACTTCTAGCTCCGACTTAAAAAAAGAACGCCAGTTTGATTCACATTTATTCTCAGTGGCAAGAGCAGGTGGACAAGTGTTGCCTCATATTGCCTCCTAATACCTCAGTGGGCTCTGCCTGGTAGGATGGGGATGGTTTAGTTTTATTTATGTTTTTTGGTTGATTTGTTTACCTTTCCTGTACTGTGAACTCCTATCGTGTTTTTCTATTGTTTGTTGTTGTAACGTTCTTACCCACCGCTCACTGACATCTGTGAAAAAGAGCTTCATAGCTCATCGGATTCCTCCAGTATAAATAAATATTCCAATTATGATTCTGGATGGACCAAAGGTCACTTGAAGGAATCTCAGAGGTAGCTCTGTGGTATCTGCTTCCTTGGACCTTTCTCTACCAGGCTTCTCACATGGCCTTGCAGGCAAACAAAACCCAACTGAGGAGCATGGGGGGCGGGCGGGGGGGGGGGGGTGTGGAAAAATCCATGAAGCTGCACGGGCGGACGTGGGGGGACTACCGCGACGCACCACGAGCGTCGAGGCGTGCTCCGCCAGGATCCCGTAGCGCCGCACGAGGCGCTGGCGCCGGGCAGCCGGAAGCTCCGGGAGGGCCCTGCGCATGGCGTCCACGTTCACCGAGTGATCGTGGACCGAGTGATCGCCGGGCGCCCCCGCCATGGACGCGTCGTCCAGTAGGATGAGGGGCGGCAGGTTCGGCTCCGGCATGAAGCTGGGAGGGTGAAGAAAAGTTTGAGGGAACTGCGGTGACGTGACGAGACGACTTACCCATTCGGCTGGAAAGATCCATAAACAGTTTGTCTATGCAGTGGTCATCTGACGAAAGGCGGTTTGTTAGACACGCGCACTCCTTTTGTCAATCCACTGCTGAATGAAGGCCTCCCGCACCTCCGATTAGCAGAGTTGGTTACGTACGGTGCGACATAAGTCCAACGTGCATACACGTACATGCATACTCCCTGCACAATGTGGGCCATGCGGGTTGATTGGACATATTTTACCACGCTGGTTAGTGCGGGTTGGTGAAGGTGGAGAGCATGATGTTGGAGCATAGTACAATGCAATTTATTCTGCTGCACTGCCTTCTGCTGGCTACAACGTAGGCCTGCAGCGGCCTGCAACACCTGTCTCTCCCCCTGTGGTCGCCCATCCATGTACTCACCAAGGTCAACCCTAGTTAGCTTCTAAGATGCGATGAGATCCGGTATATTTAGTCACATGTGACCGGTGAGATATTAATGAGGTTCATGATTCATAGAAAAAAATTCAAGTATGTTACAGGTCCACAAGTTGAGTGTTTAAGTTTGCCGATTTGAGAAATTCTTACCGATAGTCTTGCTTGGCTTCCTTGTCTCTCATTTGAACAGTTTTTCTAAAACAAATACACACAGTACTTAGTATTTACACCGCATACCAAGTTACACTGTGAATTTGACGTTGATAAATGGGTACTCCGGACCTCACCTTACCCTGTTCTGCTGTCAAATGATCTCGTTTCATTAAAAATTTCACCACCGTCATCCAACATTTGGATCTGTCTCTCTATTTCGTAATCTGTGGAAAAAATAAAAACAAGATTTATTTTTAACAACAACTTATGCGAATACACAGGGCTTAATCTCTCACCAAATATTTTCCAAATCGCTGGTAGGTTGCAGGAGCTGAGGTGCCATGTGACTAACAGCCACAGCCAATAGCGAGTGGTATAACTGGATGTCGTGTGTGCCAGCTGCAGAAACGTGTTGCGGGCGACTGACCCAGACAGACCTCACTGAAACGAATCCCCAATTCTACATTAACGACGGTGAGAAATCAAGCAGCTCAATTTAAATAGCGAGAAGGTGCAGGTGGAGACCACACCTATGGCTCTGGCAAGGAACTTGAGGCTGTTGATGTTCTTCACTTCTGTCCGGACACCGAGAGGGTCCCCGGGGAGGTGAACGGACACGTTGGCATCCACGCGCAGATGTCCCTCTGCAAGATGACCGCAGCACGAATTGAATGGCGCCGCGCCTTAGACATCACGCCTCGCAGACACCGCGTGCCTCACAGGCACTGCATGCTCACCATCACCCAATGCGCATTTGGTGTTTTGCCACCAAATTTGTGGAACAGCTTACCCAGAAATGTGAGCGATGATGCACCCACAAATCATCAAATTAGGATGAAATTAAAGACATTTTCAGAATGTGTAAATATCTCAAGTTGAGGTAGACACTGATGCAAATTTTAGCATTTCAATATGTACATTTTGTCTATATTTTCCATATTGTATTCCTTCTGAATTTTCATAATAAAGGTTTTTGGGTTAGATCGCGTTTATTTATAAATGTGTCGTAACCCTCCACCACCCGACACGGCCAATCAGCAAAAAAGTGTCACGTTGACAAAAGACAAATAATTCACTACTTCAGCCCACCGGTGTGTTGAAGAGTTAATCCATATTTACAGTTTGAGTACGACGTTTCGCTGGTAAATACATCCAGCATCATCAAGCAATTCGCCAGAATGGTAAAGCCCTCGCTTGCTCCCGGTTTTATATAGAGCAGCAGGGTGACGTCATCACTTAATTCATATCAGGTGCAGTGATGAATTTTGTCTACAATCACTCCCTCACTGAGTCATTACCTGAAAGCCCCTTTGCTCTGGCTCTTAAAGATGCACTGTACGTGCGGAGCAGTGTAAATAGTAAATGATGACGATAACAATGATTAAACACACGGGAACATGGGGGCAAGAGGTCAGTCATCTGCATTGTGTACTCAACGCAGCTTGGTTACAAATTTCAGCCAGTATCACCGTCCATTCTTTTAGTTAATAATTAGGAACGGTTTATCAACAGCCATATACGTTATTAGATGTGTGATTATTCACCCTCTTTCCCTACCAAGTGAATGAGGATGGGTTATATCAAGATTCATATTATTAATGCGGTAATAAAATGTATTTCTCTCCAGGCTAAATCACAATTGGGGTAGTCATCTGAACAAAATGCATTTCATTGGATAAAGAGGGCAGGCATAGTAGTATTTGATAGTGTTTAGTCTTTTCCAGAATTTCATTGATAGCATGTTTGCTTGTCAACGGAAGGGAAACCTTTCCTAAACCCAGCCTGTTCATTCGCTTAGGTGGTCTCAAAAGTTTCCATCATCTGATTTGCAATTTTTTTATTCTTGAGTACGGAAAGCGGTTCAGGAGCTAATTGACAATGTTGAGGTCTGCCACTGTTGAGGTTTATAGTTTGGGTTGCATGGCCACGATCACACTACCGTGGCTTGTCTTGAAATTGTCATTCATGAGGGTGATGTGTGCATCGGGCTGTTGATGTTCTGAGAGATGGCAACGTGTTATGTGTTTCCATGTTTCCTTCAACACAACTCATACCGTCATCTAGGCGAAATGGACATGATTAATTTAAATCTATTTCTCATCATTTTCGCAAACAATTGACGTACATCTGACAGGAGGCTAACGAGTCTGCCAGCATCATGATGATGATAATAATTTAATTTATTCGTGAACTTTACTTATAACCACATTAGTGCCCACTGCGACAAGTCTCTTTTGCAAAGAGGGAAACTCTGTGTCTCGCTGTGTGTCCCTCGCACCGGCCATGATGGCCTGGCAGGTGCCCAGTGCCTGCAGGATGAGCTGAAGCTCGCGGACGGCGGTGGCCGCCTCCAGCCCACAGCTCATGTTGGGCTCCATCACGATCTCCATGAGGCCCACCCCTGTCGCGACGCCACAAAGACAATGAGGAAGGTCGCTTAAGGCATTTTATCCGCACTTCCGATTGCTAACGCTTGGCTGCGTACGGTGCTAAAGAAGTTCAACATACACAGATACAACAGCCACACATTGTCGAGAGTACTTTAGAGCGCTGCTTTCAAGCGAATGACTGAAACCGCCGCCTCGAGTGGAGGCCCGCGGTGGTGGTGGCGAGCGAGGGGCCTCTCATTACCGGCACGGTTGAGGTCTATGAGCGAGCGGTGCCTGGTCTCGTCGTGCAGCGACTTCCCGCTGTCCTGCTCCAGCTGGATCTGCTTGATGTGCACCTCACGCTCCTCCGCCTCGTTCCGCCGGTTGCCGTGGAACAGCTGATACCGCAGGGCCCCTCCCTCGGCTATCGGCAGCCGCTGCTGCGTGATCTGATAGCCGGCCTATAAGTCAGAGATGCCCGTGCGGTCAGGTTTGGCGCGAGGGTTTTCGCAGCCGCCTCGTAATGCACGTTGGGTGCTCTGGATTAGGCCCTGTGTCGGGCGTTTCCTCTCGCAAGCTTTCGCGACGGACAACTGCGGGCACCTTTGGAAGGCGAGGTGAGGAATTTCACATGGTCTCCAATAAGGGACAACATATAAGGGTGCGAGACTAGGCGAAATTCCTCCATTTAACTCCTGAGGATGCCCGCAGAGTAGCGCGTGGTGAAAGCCTGAGAAGAAACGTTCAACTCGCGGCTAAAGTCAGATCGTGCATTCCGTTAGGACCCCATTAGAGAGATGTATCTCTCTATCCAGGGAGAACCGGGATTAGACAAATATTAAATTAAATGAGTTAATTTACAAATCTTCGTCAACCCACCGCTGGATAAGGGCCATATCAGGCCGTGTTGATAAGCAGCTGCAGCAGCTCACAGCACCTGCTTTATACACGATAGTTTCAGCCGTGAACCCATTGTGTACATTCCGGGTGATTTGGTCACAAACATCAAAACCAACTGCGACCCCGCAGAGCAGACGCACAGCAAAACTGCCCATCGCCATGCGAACGTGTGACGTACTATGTGTCGATGCTGTAACAACAGACAATAAAGAGACATGTAGCTTTAAAAAATATATAGAAGTTTTATTGCGGAAGGGGCCAGCAAGGCCAAGCCTTACATACTGGGAGGTCAGAGTAGAAGTAATGCTTTCTGTCAAACTCCGAGTGCATGTTGATGCGGCAGCCAAGCGCGAGTGCGGTGAGGACTGCAGCCTCCACGCAGCGCTTGTTGAGGACCTTTCAAAAGGGGGTGCACACACGCAGACACCAAAACACACAACAATATGGTTCTAAATATCAGGACACCCCCAGTACATAAACAGAGGCGTGCAACAAATTGTTGGACCTACAGCAACTTTAACACCTTTTTTTCCAAATGTTATTTCACGCGATAGCCTATATAACATACAAGCTTTTTTTGCTAATAAGATAAAATCCCGATATAACGTGGGTGTCAGGGAACATGAATAACACGCTTTGTATCTCCGTATCTATGTGTGCGTTTGTGACCCGCGGTATACCCAAATACGCGGTGTAATGAGCTGTGTTCTAGTGGCCTTTTACTGTAATACTGCATATCAATTGTATTCCTGTGACCATGATCTCATCTGAAGGAAGCTAAGTAGGGCTGAACCAGCCAAGCGCTTGCATAAAAAACAGGTTATTAGAGGCTGTGTGGAAAATTAACTTGGACTAGGTTTTAAACTATAATTTCAAATGTAAACTTAATTTAGTTGACTTAAGAACAGTCTAAATTAAACACTAAACTGTTCTTTCAGCCTGTCTTTCCCTTGGTCTTCTGTAAGTAATTGCTTCACAAGACATCTCATTTACATTGTGTAACAGAGCTTTGAATGATCCAAAGGCCTGGTACTGTAATTGTCGAGGAATATTATAATACTAATGACATTTATTTATCCAGGGAAATCTCATGGCCAATTACATTGTTTGGCATTTGATAGGAAACCAGAGTAAGGTACCTGGGAAATGTCCTTCCTCACAAATTAAGAGAAATACTCAATACTGCCATCTTCTGACAAACCAACAACATTGACAAACCCTGCTGGTGACCCATCCAGGTACTGACCAGGTTAGACACTGCTTAGCGTCCAACATCTGATAAGATTGTGTGCATAACAACCATGGCTACAATTCATGCCTGCTGCTTGTGTTTCTTGTGAAAAGCAATCTAAAAAAAAATACCATTTCCCTCCTAATTTCACTCTGAACGTGATTGGTGTCACATCATGAGACAAAGCAACCACTCGGAACGCTCGCAGAGCAGTGCAACCCTTCATGTTAGAGAACAGTCAATGGAAGCGGACATCACAAAACTTCATCCGAGTTCCCTTCAAGTGGACTGTCTGGCGCACACAGCAGGAGGCAGCACTGTCCCACTTGCCCTCTCGCTAAAGTGAGCAACATTCGTCCCATGGCAGTCAAAACTATATATTTTTTAATTCCTAGCTTCAGTAATCTGTGGGGTTTATGCACATTGACAAATTTTGCCAAATTAAGCGCAGTCCCAAATTGATTGTTACGGCAGTTCTTTGCAATCACTGATGACCAGGCTGAGATCATAAACCTGCTCTACTCGAGACCCACAGAAGGTTGCCCAGATCCAAACACGGCATTTCAACGGTGCCAGTTCGGCCAGCCTCTTGACCCTTGCGTTGCCCAGCCCACCTCGGCGACGCGCGGTGTTTAATGCAAGACTCACAGGCAGGGTGCCAGGCAAGCTGGCATCAAAGTATGAGACGAGAGAGTTGGGCGCGGCGTGGAACTTGACGCCGGCACCTGAGAAGAGCTTGGAGTGCGAGTGAATTTGAGCGTGCACCTCCAGTCCCACCACGCTGCGCCATTCCGCCCTGCAACACCAACAAGATGCGATGAGTTAAACACCCGAATGAAGCTTGGAGTGCTGATGGGAGTTCAAGAGAACTCACAAACACCTTGTGAAAGACCCAACGCGGAAGATCGCTGGTTTTGACCTTCCACGAAGCTCATGGTCCACGCTAAACCGCATCCGCACAAACCATTGCAGCAGATACGGACACAAGCTATTGTCTCTCTGTATTATGTTGAACTTCTTTAGCACCGTACATAGCCCACCACCGCATTGGCAAGGCTTACAACGTATCTGTTTACATGCACAGGCATGTGAACGGAATTCTAAAAACAAAATCACACTTCTGTAAACGGGAAAGGTCGTGTAACAAAGGCAGCAGTTAAACCAACGAACACTTTCCGTAAATGCCCATACACGGAGGCGATGAATGAGGCTCGAGTGGCCGGCTCAGCGAACTACGTTTGAGGTGCAGTCAAAGCGCTGCAGTCGAAGCGCTGGCGATCCAAATAAATTACCGAGCAGAATAAGGCGTACCCCTGCTCAATCATCGTGGTGTGGTGCTCCTTTCACAACCAGTGATGTAAATGCCACGTTCCGATGGCAGGAGCCTTGCTATCCACGAACCAACGGGCGTGACTACCGTCCCTGCAATTGCGAGGAAAGAACCCGATTTGGGTTTAGGGTGCAGGGTTTATGCTTGGGATTCATGGGTTGTGGATTATGGTTACGGGCGAAGGTCCGGGGTTAGGGTTTAATGGTTTAAGGGTTAGGGGGGATTTGCACAGTCGTGCCTAAGACCGATGTCCCTGCCTGCGTGTATGCAGTCTCGACCTTTAACAGGCACCGTGGGTTTTGAATGCGCGGCGATGGCAAGGGCCGTGGACGAGGGGGGGGGTCATGGTAAATATCACGGCACATTTAAGCGCCGGCCATCCCGCTACCTTCCAGTCTGGGCGGCGGCGGCGGGCTGCCGTTTCGCGACAGCGGGGTTGTGTTTGCGCCGAGCATTCGCGACAGCCGAGGGGGAGGCAGCGCCGCGTCGCAGCGAGCAGAGCGGCCGCAGGAAGCCCGCGGCGAACCCCGAGCCGAGCCCGAAGCGTGCGGCGATGGGCGCAGCCATGTTGACGCGGCGCGCACCACGTGACCGCACTTAAACCCACGCGGCTTCCGTATGACCATACATAGGCGCAAGGGATGCATTCATATCGCGCTTTGTATTTATTAAGGATTGCCTTTTTTATTTTAGCTTTAGAGTACTTTATTTTAGAATTGTTATTTGTTTAATTATTTTATTTTGTTATTTTATTAATCTTAAACAGAATGGGTTTGTCTGTTAATCAGCGACTACGAATAGGTGACGATTTTTTTCTATGGCTATTTAGAATCGAGTCGTAAGACAAACATTTAACACGTAGGATGCTTTCGCGACCAATATCATCCATAAGAGGATTTTTTTGGGTTAGTTCGCGTAAATATGTGTCGTTAAACCCGCCACCACCCGACACAGCCAAATAGGAAGGTTTGTCACGTAAACAGAAGATGCCAATTCGCTACTAGTGTCGTGTATGAGGTGGCAAGGGGGGGGGGGGGGGTGCAAAAGGGGGTGAGAGGGACACGTGATGTAGGGGCCAGAGTCTTCGGGAAGGATCTGGAAGGGGGCGTGGCCAAGGGCGGAGCCCGGCCATGCCGCGGCCCATAAAGGCCGAGTCCCGAGCCCCAATCGGGGCTGTCCCATGGAGAATGAAATCCGCCTGCCACGTCTTCGATCTTCGGGCTGGCTGTATGTTATTCCGTGAGAGGTTATGTAGTTACCCCATTGGGTCCGGAATAAACGTGTTGCCTCCAAGTTCGAGTGTGCGCCTCAGTCGAACCCACTACACTAGTACAGCACACACCGGTGTGTTGGAGAGCCAAGCCACAACATTTACTATCTGAGACGACGTTTCGACAGTAATTGCAACTAGCTTAGGCGACAGCCAAACTTGGCTGTTTCCTTATGGAAGACAAATATTATATTCTTGGTTCATTCGGTAAAGTCACTTAGAAGGGAAACAATAAAATAACAAAAATATAAAACAATAAAATGATCACGTTTCAACTGCAACACAAGCAATCATCATCAGGTGTGAAAACCACAGCAAGAAAATTTGCAGTCGAAACGTCGTGAGAATTTAATTGTTTTCTATTTTTATTATTTTATTGTTTCCCTTCTACGTGACTTTACCGAAAGATCCAAGAATATGAATCCCTGCAGTCACGAAAACTTTAAATCAAAATTTAAGACAAATATTGTTAACAGTTCTAATTCCCATCGGGCCCCATGGTATAAAAGTGCAGTGTCCTGGCTGCTAAATAAGTGCTATGAAGGGGGGTCATTGGCCGAAACATCGGCCCGGTGATGGTTTTGTTTATGTTTTGTTGAGGCTGGGAGCACGCAGCAAGGATCTCCCTTCTAATACGTTTAGCCAGTTAGCCGGGTAACTGGCTAAACGGGATGATCCGTGTGACAACGAAAATACATACTCTTTGGTTCTTTCGGTAAAGTCACGCAGGTATAATTTAATTAATTTTATTAATAGGTGTGATTTATTTTATTTTATACCTACGTGAATTTACCGAAAGAACCAAAGAGTATGGATCCCTGCAGTCACGAAAACTTCAAATTTAGAACGAAAATACATTTAGAGAATGTGTTCCTCTGTTTCTACTCAATGTTGGCGTTTCTAAAATATATTCACGAGCTAAATGTATATCTGTGTCTACTATGCACGAGAGAACTTAACGAGATACACAGTGCTGTGAATATTAATCTCCGTTTTAAATAAACCTTACTTTTAAAATGTAAAATTTTGATTTAAAGCTTTCGTGACTGCAGGGATTCTTGGTTCTTTCGGTAAAGTCACGTAGAAGGGAAACAATAAAATAATAAAACAATAAAATTCTCACGACGTTTCGAATGCAACAAAAGCAATAATCATCAGGTGTGACTTATTTTTTTTCGATTAAATTGAGTTCACGAGACATCTGTACCACCCTGTGCTTGTTTTTTGGTGACATGGTGAACCTGGGAGCTTTTTACCAGTATCAAAGTATAAAAAATAAGAAAAGGTTTTACCCTTCCTGGCAATCGAACAACTGTTAAGATTTGATTTGACGCTTTCGTGACTGCAAGAACCAAAGAATAACTGTTAAGATGTCCAAACACAAAATAGATACCTTTTGCAAGGAATCACGTGAATTACGTGCATATTCACCACAAGTACGTGTGGTTAATGCAGATTTGATTCCTAGAAAGAGTATATATTTGGTATTTGAACATCTTAACACCTCCTGTTTTATTGCCAGAAAGGGTAAAACCTATTTTTCATAGGGTGAACCTGTTTTCAAGTGAATGGATATTGAGAAAATCACGGCCCAATAATTCAAAATGCGCCCCCTACTGATCACACGAAGGATAGACTGTTTCAGAGCTGCTGTCATGGGTAAAAATCAGTCGGACCTTTCCGGGGTCTGAGCTCCTGAAAATATTTCCAACCGCTTTGTGTTGAGATTAGTTGTAATACTGGTTTCATGATTCGTAATCTCCTGTTGTGCTGTGAATGTGTATTGTAGGTTCGTGGTCTCCACCGTTGTGGGTCGAGCTGAGTTGTAATACTGGTTTGTGAGACGGATCAATAAAATCAGAACCATTTTGTGATGTGGCGGTTGTTTTACCTATAGACTGGCCCCCATCAAAGGAATGTGGAATTTACACCACTATGGGCAACCAATACGCACCACCACATCGCTCGTTTGAACAGAGAAACCCACTATCTCACACGTATATTGACTGGCTCTCTAACTAAGTGTTTAGGCTTTGGCACAAAAAACTACGAAACAGACGCTACCCAAGACTCAAGAGGGTTACTAATGTCCAACTGCCTCCTTAAAGGTCTCATCAGACGTCTGCCCAACAGCCCAACCGCGTATGAAAATACGAATAGGTTTTACCATTTCTGGCAATAAAATAGGCGTTAAGGTGTTCAAACACCAAGGGATCGTGTCTGCAGTAACCACACGGACTTGTGGTGAACATGCAAACAAAATCATGCTCTGATAATATATGATTGGCCTAGTCTCACCAGTGTCAGACCAGAGTACGCCCAAAGGCAAACATTTTTGTTTTCATGTTTACCACAAGTACGTGTGGTGAATGCAGATTTGATTCCTTGCAACAGGAATCTATTTGGTGTTTGAACATCTTAACATCTGTTTTACTGCGAGAAAGGGCAAAACCTATTTTTATTTGTCATACTTTGATACTGGCAAAAAGGTCCCAAACGCGTGTGCGACTCATTAGAGAAGAGGAGGCCAAAATCCGGCCCAATTTCCAGTAAATGGTGAAGACAACAGCGCGACCCCATAATGGACCGGCTCATGAGCCAGCACTTAATGACCCTGCAAACCCGATGGCATTCAACTTTTTAAAAAACGCAAACGATATACACATTTCAGGACAAGGGGAGACGGGGGCAGTGATATAACTGTGGGAGTCGGTGGGTGAGCTGGTGGCTGCTAAGTGAGGCATTCAGACGGGGGAGGTTGGCTGCGTTTTTTAGGCGGGGGAGAGGGGGGTGGGGGGGGACAGTAAATAAGCAACAAACAAGGAGGCGAGATATACGGGATCCCGCAAACACGAAGAAAGGTCACCGAGTTTGTATACGCGCAGCACACACGACTGGGGGGGCCAGCGACCACCCTCCAAGGCTCACTCGGCCGTGCATTGGGCGGTGTGCGGAGAACACGTGGAGAACAAACGATTGCGGGTGCCGTCGTGGGAGTAAGTATCGGCCAACGGAAGGGCTTTCTCGGAGTTTGCTCCCTGGAAGAAGACGTATGATGTGCATCGACGCCCGAGATGGTAAGTAGACCGCCGCTGTCTCCCATTGTTAATGCAAGACGCTAATGATGGAAGTAGAGCGGCCCTGTCGCTGATCCTAACACCCTCCGGCTGATGCCCGGTATATTGCAGAAGGTGAGCCTTTTATTATTTCCAGAACAGAAGCAATAATGTAAGCAATGTTTTAGGCAGCAAGGGATTAATTGCAGGAATTCATATTCTATGGTTCTTTCGGTAAAGAAAGATAGAATATGGATTTATTTAAGTAAAGCTGCTTGTTCCCTCGTCATTATCTTCATCAGCCATGATCTATTCACCGCTGGATGCAGTCTTCCCCACGAAGTTGCCTTCCATCGCGATCTCACGAAGCAACAATCCACGTCGCTCTTGTCGGCGGGGTGTGCTCACCACTCCATCTCCACACCGTTCCGTCTCTTGGGCGTTGTCCTCTCCGTTTGGCTGCCCATCGGTCTCGACCAAGGCCGTAGCAAAGGAGTCAACATTGGGGGGGAACCAAATCTTCCAGGGTGTCTGGGGGTCCCAACCCAGAAAAATATCTAAATTTTAAAACTCATTTCCTGCCTAAAGCATTAAAAAAAATTCACTAACACATGGGATGGATTTATTTTTTTACAATGTCTAATAGTGTATTGTATTACATTGCTCTGTTTTTACTTTTTTACCTTTTCTTGTTTCGTTGTATGTAATGGCAGAGATTAGGAACGAATAAAGTACAACCATAGCCACAATCATATAAACAGAAATCTATGTATTGATTTATATGAAGACAAGTCCAGATATTGTGGCCAAGGTTTAGCAAATTGTTTTTATTTACATAGCATAGCAATTATTTTTTAAAGCAATATATTGTTGGGGGGGGGGACATTTTGAGCATATTTGAATATTGGGGGGGATGTGTCCCCCCAAGATTTAGTATAATTACGGCCTTGGTCTCGACCACGGGGCCGACGTCACTCGTCGCGATGTATGCGCTACCAGAATCCACTCGCTCTTCTTCGCAGCTAAATACGATTTTGTTTATAAGCATGTCCGATTTGTGTTAGCACGGTTGGCTACGCACGGTGCGAAAGAAGTTCAACATACATACTTGATCCGATCGTCGAGTTTCTCTCTTCGCCTCTCCATGTCATTCCAAGCAAGCATCTATCTCCCCACGCTTCTCTGTGCACCTTTAAGCGTGTATCGTGTCCGTGTTACCGATCTATACGTCATAGCGGGTAATGTGCACCGATGTAAAACTTTCCTTTAGAATCCTGTTCATGAATCACGTAAACTGTTGCCGCTTCATGTAAACACTCATATACAGAGGACCGCAGAACTTGGGGGAGAGATGTGGTGCCAGCTCACCAGCTGCCCCCCCCCGCTCCTCTACGATTTATCCCCTCACCTCCTGAGCCACTCTCTCTCTCATCGAGAGCGGACCAATACGCGCTACGAGTTGATCTCATTATCATCCACCAATAAACATAACGTGCCGTGTGACAATTCTGTAATATCCGGGGTAAAATGGGAAGAGGTTTGGTGGCCCGTTTAAAATTAAAAAAACACGGTTAATGTACAAACAAGCCGTACCTTTTTGCCAAAATACTTATTTATTAATCGCTCATGTGGAACGGGGAGGTGTAGCACGTACAATGCACCGCCTGTGTCCATTGTTTCTAAGAGTCGTCGGTGGTGGCGGTCACGTGGTCACTGATTCAGGTGGTGAGGAGCAGCCAATAAACAAATAAATCTGCACGCAAGCACAAATACAGGGTGCTTCGAAAACATGTTAACACTTACATGGGACTATCGTTTTTAATGGGGAAAAGAACGGATAATATTACACTGTAACACGATAACAAACGTAATGTCAATAGCTTCAAAAAGGTCAAAGAGTCTTCACTAGTTCGCCATAATTGTCAACGCGTGCCTGGAATATTCTCCAGGTGGTCTCCAGAGTCCGGAGGAGGCAGCAGCACATTTCTCGTGGCATCGTTGCAAATTCTCCGAAGTGTAAAAAAAAAAAAATCTTTTTTTGAATCACCCTGAATTTTACGGATTTTCCCCGGTTTGAACCGTAGCACGGATAATTATCAAGCCCACGGCAAAATGATTGCAAACAACCCACACAGGGTGCATATGTATTAGGCCGTGAGTCAGCCAAGATGACAACGCTGTCGCCAAAGTATTCTCCACCCCACACCCCCCCCCCCCAGCGACATCGGGAGTTGTTTTCCAAACATTATTTGGTGGTTGCTGCTTCTGCTGAATTGGCAGTGGTGCGCACGCCGATTATATATTTATTTTATTTTAAACGCGGTGTTGTTGACGATTATGAGTTACTTATTTCCAAAACTTTGGATTGGAGAAACAAAGGCTTGGAATGTAAACGGAGAGAACAATATACTAACAATCACCGTTTTGCTGAACATATAACCGTTATACGTCCAATGGAAACTAACTGCAGGATATGGCAAATAACTCGATAAAGATAGGCTGAATAGTAGTTGGGCTGCAGATGAATATAAGCAAAATAAAAAAACATATGGATCAAGTTTCGATTTAAAGATTTCGTGACTGCAGGGATTAAAATTATTGGTTCTTTCGGTAAAGTCACGTAGAAGGGAAATAATCAAATTAAAAAAATACAACAATAAAATTCTCACGACGTTTCGATTGCAACACAAGCTATCATCATCAGGTGTGACAACCACAATGATGATGATTGCTTGTGTTGCAATCGAAACGCCGTTGCTTGTGTTGCAATCGAAACGTCGTGAGAATTTTATTGTTGTATTTATATTATTTTATTGTTTCCCTTCTACGTGACTTTACCGAAAGAACCAAGAATATGGATCAAGTTATTTGTTTCAGTTTGTAATTGTGAAATGCTTTGATGTTGTCTGACGGCCGAGTCGCCGTTGAATAAAGAGCTTCTCAGTTCTATGGGCTTCATTCAGTGAAAAAAAAAACACTTCTGATTCTTTAAACGATTACATGTGCATGTGGTAGGAACAGCGCTGGAAGATCCAGCAGAATATACATGTACAGGGTGCTTCAAATAAATGTGAACGCTTCAGAGAATTTGCAACAATGTTATAAGAAATATGCTGCTGCCTCCGTGCTCTGGAGATCACCTGGAGAAGATTCCAGGCCACGTGTTGATAACGATGATGATCAAGTGGAGACTTTTTGACTTTTTGAAGCTATTAACATTACATTTATCACGTAACAGTGTGTTATCCGTTCTTTCCCCCCATTAAAAACGATAGTCTCATATAACTGTTAAAGAAAATTTGAAGCACCCTGTATATACCTGGGGTAGCCTGAGATCAAAACGATGAAATGAAGATGTGGGTGACAGGCGCTTGGAGTGTGTTTTGAAAAGTGGAACTTGATCATGAAAAGCAACTCGCCGAGGTGCCTCGGGTGGACCGTGTTTAATCAGTGTGCACCGCAGCTGCTGTGACGCATGAATCAGAAATATCGGAGGGCGACAAAGGGAATGGAACAAACGCCCAACGGTGCGTGAAGAAATGTAGTTGAGAGACTGAGAGAAGAAAGCGTGCACGAGAGAACATATACTGGGGGGCAAGACGTGGGTTTCGTGGTTCGGGAAGAGTGAGCGAGCGATCTTGAGCAGTCCACGCGTTACTCGGGGAGGAGATGGCCAATGAGTGAGTGCATCCAAGAGGATGTCTACCGTGGAGATGGAGCGGTGAGATTGGCTCGTGTGCAACCGTTTGATGGATAGTTGAATAGCTGGACCTGTGGGGGGTGGGGGTGGAGTCCACTTGGGGATGCCTTATTCCAGAAGTGGATTCATCATGACTGATAATGATATAAATCAGCTTACCACGTAGGCTTTCGCGACCAATGTCACCCTCTATTATGAATGATACAAATCGTACTAACTAATAATGCACACACATTACTCCCAGTATTGGAGCAGATGGGGAGTTCTGCTGCCTGTGTGGAATGGATTTCAATTGAAGGGATCTCAAAGCTAGTTCTGTGATGTCCGCTTCTGCGGGCCAGTCTTTCACATAAAGAGATGAGAGATTTTTTTTAAAAAATGGCTGCTTCATCTCCATGACGTGTCACTGATAACACAAACGGGATAACATTAGAGATAGCTTTCATTTGAAATTAGAGATAGACTTATTTTATGACTAAATAAAAACACATACTTGGTGCTGATTGATTGTGAAGATGCTGCCTCGGCCTGGGATGGTGGTGGTGGCATTTGTTGTTGATGTATTCTACCCTGGGTGCTGCCCTGCGTGCTGGTTGCAGGACGGTACCGCTTCCTGGTGCTGCTCTGTAACTGTCTCGTCACCTTCGGCTCGTACTACTGCTTCGACATGCCGGGGGTGCTGCAGGCTCAGTTCCAGGGGGTGAGTGTGTCCCCTCCGCCCCGAGAAAAGCGAGCTAATTACCCTCAATCCACTTGGTCTGGTCTGATCTTCTGAAGCTAAGCAGGGTTCAGTTCAGGGGTGTTTGGCACCTGGATGAGCAAACTGTCTGGGAATACGAGGTCCCACTATCTCCTGGCTATCTTGCCAGAAGATAGCGGGACAGCAGTGGATTCTTAAATCGAAAGTCTATCACCCTCGTAGAGTGGTGCTGCAGTTTCACTGGGTTCTCCAACTTGCTCCCACGTGGCCAAATGCGCATTAATTGGAATTGGCGAAAATCATTCCCATGCGGTAACATGCTAAAAAAGAAAATTTAGTTGAGACGCAGTGAGACTTTCCTGGGTTAAAGGGCATTTATGATTATTATTCATTATAAAACTGGGTCATCCGAAGGCTGCCGCTGGGTGGAATGCGAACGTTATTTGGGAGGCAATGGCAACGTGAAGCTGGGGATGCCTGGCTCTGTGCCCGGACATGCTCATGGATGAAGCTCCAGGGCAGCATAGAGAATGTGCGGAGGGAGGGGCGGGGGGAAGCATAAAGTGGCAGGTCTACTCACAAGACTCGCCATGAATGCATAACCGACACCACCGAACAAACGGCACAGCCAGGAGATGGACACTACCCTGATTATTTCATGGCCTCGTGCCAAGCGGTATACATTCACTGTGCACTTTATGGCGGTGGGTTGGGATGAGCACTTGGCCAGCAGTGGCTTTTGGAGCACCGTTTTTGTACTGCAGGCAGAACTGCAAAGTGGTAAAAAAAAGGTAAAATGATCATTGATTAAACAAAAGATTCGTCAATTCCAATTAATTCTTATTCTCACAGTACATTAATTGAAACATATGGTGTAATAATGGATTATTTTCAGTTTATACAAATTATATGTAAATTAAATGCTAAATTACATTTAGGCTAATGGGGCTAACAAACCCGTGCAACCGAGACAGTAAAAACAAGACAATAAAGAACCAATTCTGGATTGATTCATTACACCCAACTATAATCATTCATTGAAGCCGTTAAGGGGGGGCGAATTGATATGTGGGCGCTCATTAAATACTAATGCTCACATTGCGTTTGCTCCGCATGGCAAAAGGCAACCAAATTCATACGCGGTGCTCGACTGGAAATGTAATTTGCTCTCTGACCGTGTTGCCAGAATTTGAGCTGCTCCGAGGAGCAGAATGCGAAGAACGCGACTGTCCTGAACGGTGGTGGAGGCTGCGAGACCCCATCGGGATTGGGACTCACGCCGAGCCAGTACAACTTGCTGTACGCTGTTTACGCATGGGGGTGCGTCTCTTTCCCTCGCGTGCGGTGACGGATGAATAGTAACTTGAGAGTCTATTGCAGGACAACATTTTTGTTAATACATCGATGGTAGACTGGAGCAGGCACCAACAGCCGTGGCGAGAGGTACACTGGACATGGTCTGCGTCAACGAGCTGGACAGACCCCCTCCCTCTCCCTCCCCCCCCCACTGAAATTAAGCCCCAAGTCGATGTCCAGATTAATTAGCTGGGAAATTGGTTCAGTCGACATGCGGTGGGGTGAGTCAATGGCGAAAATTGAATATTTGGAGTTCACATCGGTTCACTGCTGTGTGGTCAATGTTCTGGTCCGCGTTTCTGCAATCGCACGCCGGGCTTTCATTGAAATTACCGCTCGTGAAGGTCGTGGTGGGCAGATCTGCCGTGAGACGTGCCGATTTGATTTTCACGTGGACGAACATTGTTCTGGAGATCTAGATCAAATCACGGAGGTTCTATCATGGAATTGGCGATCTGGTACTTGTTGGGGATATTATTTATCATCCATATCCATCTCAATTTCTCAGGGCCATTAAGGTCTGCATCTACAACGGTTCTGGCTGTGATTTTTCATGATTTTGGAAGGGGTCTGGCAGTTGCTGTAGATCTCTAACGAGTGGCAGATCCGGATAGCCTTAGATGCGGCTCTATTCGTGAAAAGCGTAATGACTGTCTGCGGATCTCAGGAGGAAGGATGTTTGACAGCGGTGAGCAGGAGTGGAACCTGCGACAGAGGCAGTGGCGACGTGTGGCTCTGATTTTAGCAGGCGACAAACTCTACCTTGGGTTTCGCACTCGGCTGGCACGCGACAGCGGTTTGATTGATTTTTGGGTGTAAGGTGACGGCAGTGCCATCACCACCGCATCCTCCTCCAGACGGAGCTTGAATTTAAATCCGCGCAGTTTCCTCGGGAGACTCGTTTCAGCGAGTGCTCGGCACCGGTCGTTATCCTCGTACAACGTGCGCACATTTAAATTCCCTGTCAGCCACCTGCGTGTGTTTTTAATGAGGCTGGGAAAGCCGGCCACGGAGTTTGCAGTCTTCTCAAGCCAGAGGCACAAGTCACGGTGGCGAGAAGTCAACTATCTCACCTGGTAACCAGGAGGACGTGGGTTTGACCCTGATGCCTGCTGTATATTTGGAGTTTGCGTCTTCTCCCCGGGGTCTCGTGGATTTTTCTCCGGGTCCTCCGATTTTGACCTCCTCATTTAGAAACATTAGTTTAGAGGATTTGGTTTCTATACATTTCCACGTGATAAGTCGCATCATTGGGCTATTTTTTGTGGCCAGGCCTCTTCTGAAAGAGAGCGACATAACTCAGTGGGGCCTTACCTGGTAAAATAAAGAAAAAAGTTTAGCAAATAAATAAAAAATAACCGATCGATCACAGAGTTACAAGTGTTTACGTTCCACGCTTTGGCGTACGCGAAAGACGAACATCGGTAAAACGTCATCCCTCATTCAATTCAAGACATACCATTTCTCTGCCTGTGCTCTCAGAAATGTCGTCCTCGTGATCCCCTTTGGGTACTTGATGGACAAGATCGGGAACCGAGGTAAGGACTGCGCAGCGGCCACGTTGCCGTCGAGCGTGCAGGCGCTGCCACTGCACCGGGGCCGGAGGGCCGGAGGGACCTAGACGCACTGGGGATACGAAGAGGGGAGGGGGGGCGGCAAATTGGATCGGTGGGGGGAACTCATTTAATTACACAACTTGCACCGGTGGCCAACCATGCCCCACGCCACTGTGGCGGTGTTAAAAAGTGTTTTAGTTCTTGTTATATTCCCCCCCCCACCCAATAATGAAACACGACCACAACCTTGCACGTGAAGGATTCCATTGCGAAACCAAGGTCACAAAGGCGCCAGCGACGAGCACAGCCGGCAGAGCGGAGTGCGGTGGCTGACGGCACGCGGGGACGCATTTCCTTGGCGACAGCCAGGCTGGAGACAAACGGTGCAGAGGCGCCTGCGACCCCGTGCCTGCATTGCGCTCCCCCGGGGCACCCTCTCGGCTCAAACAGGGAGGCCACTGGGGCGGGCGTACACGTGGGCCAACGTGCCCAAGTCACGTGGAATGCACGCACCCCATTTTGTCGAAACACAGAGGCTAAGCCACCTTGAGCCTGGATAGTGCTGGGACGGGCGGCCGCCATGCACAGAAGAGGTGTCACGGTACGCCATGTGGGTGACCACTAATTTTTAATGCATCCAGAACCCCTTGAGCCTCTTGAGCCTGCTTGAGGTACTTGGCATTGGCTTTGTTTTCCTTCTGACCCCGCTGACCCCGCTGACCCCTGCGCGCTGTGCCACCCGTGCCCGCTCCCGTAGTCTCCGTGATGCTCTTCTCGTCGTTCTGCATGCTCGGCTCGCTGCTCTTCGCGCTCTCCATCCGACTCCGTGGCTCCACCCGCTCCATGCTCGCCCTCATGCTCGCCGGGCGGGTGCTCTTCGGCTGCGGGAACGTCTCGCTCATCAGTAAGAGGCGCGTTGCTGGGGGGGGGGGGGCACGGTGCGAGGCGGGGGGGCCCCGGTGGGTCGCGGGGGGGGGGGGTGGTGGCCGCGGAGAGGGGGGCACCAACGGCTGACGCTGTTACAACGTCGATCGCCAGCCGGACACAACGCTGACGCCCAGATCCATCTGGAGTGTTGGAGCTTAGCTCTGTCCATAAGGGGCAGTGGCGGAATTTCATCCGCAGCGTTGAACACTCTTCGTATTCGACACATGTAGGGTACCTTCGCCGGTACCTTCGCCGTACCGGCGACGGTGCACGCAACCTCTGCTGCGTCGCCTGCTCCATCGCCTGCTCCCTGCTGCTCTCCAGCGTAGGCCACCGGTGGACGTCAAGGGGACGAGGGGCTACGTGACGGCCGGCGTGGAGATGGAGCAATGAATTCGGCTCGTGCGCAGGTGCGCTGTGTTTATCGTCGCGGGGTCGTGAGAAATGGCGATGGGTTGGCGACACCTTCAGCCAGCAGTGGATTGATTATGGCTGATGATGCAGGTTTTATATATATATACTACCCCAACACCGTCCTACAGAGACTTCATATCGTCATCATCGGCTATAATCAATCCACTGCTGGATGAAGGCCTCCCCATGCCATCGCCATCCGTCATGGCCCTGCAGTGCCACAATTTATCCGGCTCCTGCACGCGAACCGATCTTATCGCTCCATGAATGAGATCTATGGCAGCGCAATAAGAAATAACTCTTTTTGTTGTTGACTTTCACAGTGCTGTAATTAATTATCAAAAACACTGAACAGGGGGATAAAAATCATGAATCAGAGAAAAGGCCATCAGCTGAATTATTGTACGTAGTCTTTCGGGGTTGCTTTGGCGTCATACATTTTTTTTGGCATATTTATTATATCAAAGAAGAGGTGAGTAAGCAGAGAAGTGAATCATTACCTCAGTCGTGAGCCCTCCCCAGCGATAATCGGCTCCGTGTGGGCCCTGACAACAGAGAACGCGCAGAACGCGGCACCCAACCAATGGCAGAAATGTTGCGCCATCCAAATTCATCCCCACGATAAATTAACCGCTTAAGTCGAGCTATGAATGCGTTGGTATTTGCAACGTCCTTGTACTGTTTGCCTTTTTGGCAGCCTTTATCTCTATAGCATTTGGTACATAAAGGCCAATCAGTTTCAAGGACAGTGCATAAATTATCAAAGCTGTTTTCCTCACCACAATTATGTGTGGTTAATGCCTTGATGACAGGTTCCTGTGTGGTGTTTGAACATATTAACACTTCCTGCATTCATGCCATCATGGGAAAAGCATTTTTTTTGTGTTTTGAGCATCGTGATACTGGCAAAAGGGGTCCCATCACAGGTACCCACGAAGGGCGTTCGCGTTCTGACAGCAACACGACAGGAACGTGAAACGTTCGTGACTCGCCGGGGATTAATTCCAGTGGGTTCGAGACCGGGAAATGATTTCTGCTCCCGGCACGCCACATCGTATGTACCTCTGGCTTTGGCTGCGGATACTGGTCACGTGTGCCGACCCCGCTCCACCGGCAACGCGGAACATAGTCAGTGGAACATAGTCAGAGGAACATATTTAGTGGAACATTTTTAGTGGAACATTAAGTGCATGTTCTTGGGTCTTTCGGTAAAGTCACGTAGATAGGTTCGAAGAAGATAACTTGTTATTTTTTAATATGAATTCCTGCAGTCACGAAAGCTTTAAGTCAAGATATTCAGTGCATTTGGAGGCTTCTCCCCTCTTTTCTCTCCGCCTGATGAAGACCGCTTGTGTTGCAATCGAAACGTCGTGGTTTTTTGTTTTGATTTGTAATTTTTATTTATTTGTAATTTTATTTGTATTTTCTATCTACGTGACTTTAGCGAAAGAACTAAGTATATATATTCAGTGAGGAAATAAAGGCCTGCAATTTACATGAAAAAATATATTTAAAATCAGTTTTCAATTTATCATATTGCTAAGCCGAGAAACGGAACGAAAGCATCAAGCGCATCTCTTGGCGGTATTAGGTCACGTGTCATTAGGAATGTGTATTTTAAGAGGATGAATTTTATAATCAAAAGAACACGGTAACATATGCCGGGGCTAATAGTGCATTACAGAGAGAGAGGTGAAAGTCATTTGGGCATTGCCTTCACGCGCTACTGATTTATTTACTTGGCCTCAATGCATGCAAATCCTTGAAACCGTAAGTGGCGACCACGCAATGCAACGTGCATCTCATCGCATTGGCAGCGGGATGCCTTTTTCGGGCGACGCTCCGTTGGTCGCAAAGCGCTCGCACGGTGCCTTGGGGATGGGTGGCTGAGCACGCCGTGCAGAGTGTGAGCCAATGCCAAGCCCCGGGGTTTGCCGGTCAAAGTCCCTCGTCTTGGCCCTCGTGCCCGAGTGGTGACGGATGTGCCAGTCCGATGCGTCGACAGTGTGGCAGCCCTCCTCCCTCCGCCTGTGCGGGGCGCTCGCGCCCGTGGCCGGCCCTTGACCGCTTTCAAACCCGAGCCGGCCCGGTTTCGCAAAACCCGGCAGCGTGAGTGGGCCCTCGGCTCGGATTCCCATGTGAGCCAGATTTACGTTGAGAGAAAAGTCGAATGAAATCACGTGAAAGTAATATATTTTGGTTTGGGGAGTGTAAGCTAATCCAAGCATACAATAACATGATATAAATATATTACATTCCCCCTTGCTGCAGAGATAAAGGATGGGGAGGGAGCGAGCAGGGTGGAGCGTTGGCAGAATAAACGAGCCAAACAGGGCCATGTTGGCACGGCTTGGGTCTGGTTCCTAATGTCTATTGAAATGCAATACGGCATAAGGCCTTTTAGAAAGCACGAGTGTAGGAAAAGAGACATTCCCTGATGCAAACCGTGGCTCTGTAGTGTTTGGAGAGCGATGGGAATGCTCTTTACAGTATACGGGGGTTTCTCTGTGCACTTTTCAGATTTTTGTTCAAATTACTTTCCATATTCTTTGGGTGTTTCGGTAAAGTCACACACAGCTTCAACGAACATAACAAAATAACGAAAAACTACGACGTTTCGATCGCAACACAAGCGGTCGTCATCAATCCTGATGATGTTTGAACCTATCTACGTGGCTTTACCGAAAGACCCAAAGAATATGAATTCCTGCAGTCACGAATGCTTTAAGTCAATATTTTATTTCTCCATCTCTATGTTTTTGAGCAAGGAAGAGTAGGAACCAAGTGGATTAGGGAACGGACGCAAGTGAGAGACGCAAATATTATTCACCGTTACGGAAAGTAAATGGGCATGGTCAAAACACTTCCCTAGAGGGGAGTGATTACCGGCATGGTCCAGAATAACGTCAAGGAGTTTGCAGCTCAACGGAGAGGAACACGTCCAAGACTATGTCCCCTGCTGAGATCGAGTAACGGGTCTGGCTTGCGTGCAAGTGCTGCTGGACAGCTGGTTGACATGCCGGGACTGCGCGAGGGATGGACGACCCACCTGGGGAGAGCCATCGTCCAGCAGCGAAATAGATCCATGTGCTGATGACGACGATGTCTCGTTGTAACGTGTTGTTGTTGCTATTTTCTAAAAAAAGAAAACGGAGCCGAGACTGATTGCCGATGAGCAGGCCTTTGCACTTTTTGGCGGCGGCTGAGTGTGAAATGTATCTGTTGGTTGGCGGCACGAGAGGGGGGGAGGGAGGTGGCCGATGGTTCTCTCCAGCGACCCCGAGCCACTCCTCGCTTGCTCGTCAGCACGGCAGCGTGCCGCCGGAATTCTTTGGCTGCCCCCCTCCTCACCCCTGGGGAGATCACCAGCCCCGCAACGTCTCCGATTGCGTGCATGGGATTCTCCAGCACTCGTAACGGTCGGGGGTTGCCTTTTACTCCCCTTTAAAATGTTTTTGGCGACTTTTCTGGTGCACGGCGAGAAACGCAGGTTTGGGAGAAAATGAAAAAAAATCGAGGATGTTTCCTTTCGCTCTTGCACCGCACGGCGAAGTTTGAACCGCGCGTGTGTGGGGGTGTGTGTGTGTGTGGATGTGTGTGGGTGTGTGTGTGTGGATGTGTGGGTGTGTGTGGATGTGTGTGGATGTGTGTGTGGGTGTGTGTGGATGTGTGTGTGGGTGTGTGTGGATGTGTGTGTGGGTGTATGTGTGTGTGGGGGTGTGTGGGTGTGTGTGGGTGTATGTGTGTGGATGTGTGTATGTGGGTGTGTGTGGATGTGTGTGGGTGTGTGTGTGTGGGTGTGTGTGGGTGTGTGTGGGTGTGTGTGGGTGTGTGTGAGACTGGAGCGTGCCACTAAGAGGTGGGGCCTTACCATCAGCCCCACTAAAACTAAGCACCTGCCTGGGTATTTTGTACCATCGAACAGTACACCCCCACAACTCCCAATCGGTGATGGGGCAGTTGTAGAGCGAGTGGAGAGTTTCCCATACCTGAGCAGTGTGCTTATGACCGGCTCCAGTTTAACAGCAGAGGTCTCACTCCGAATCAGTCGAGCGGCAATATCTTTTCATCGGTTACGTAACGCTGTGTGAAAGCTACCTGGTCTGTCGCTCCGCACTAAGCTTCAGGTCTTCTCGGCTACGGTCATTCCCTCCCTTCTCTACGCTTGCGAAACGTGGACCCCCCTAATGGAACATCTTCGCCGGTAAGAAACATTTAGGCTGGCCTGCCTACGATCCATCCTGGGTTTAACCAGACAGGATTGTGTGAGGAGCCCACAAATCCTTGAAAGATCTGGGCAGGGTCCCATTGGTGAGCTCCTCCGGCGGGCAAGGCTGCATTGGCTGGGTCATGTAGCCTGCATGCCCAGCCACCGCATGCCGAAACAGCTTTTGTTCAGCCGGATTGAGGGGGCTAAGCGGACGCGGCATGGGCTAGAGAAGAGATGGAGTGATGTGGTACAGGAGGACGTGGAGCTGAGTGGACTTGCCGATGACTGGTACCAGCGGTGTCAAGATCGGCCTCTGTGGAGGAGGCTCGTGAAGGACGCTACTGGGCATTTGGAGGTAGCCGCCCTCCAACAACAACGGAGGGCGGAGGAGCGACGCTCACAACAACGAGCGGTGCGCCGGGTGGCTGAAGCACAGCAGGTTGGCACAGTAGGGGGCACAAGTGGTACATCAGCCAGTCATCTCAGTCATCTCAGTCAGTCGACCCGTGGCACCTGGGTCTGCCCTGTGACCTCCTGCCAGCGGGCGTTCGACACTTCACGTGACCTCAAGGTGCACATAGCCTGGCACAAGCGTCGTGGTGACGTCACCGCCACTTAGTGGTGAATGGCGGTTGTTGTTGTGGGTGTGTGTGTGTGGGTGTCTGTGTGTGTATGTTGGTGTGTGTGTTTCAACTGTGGGGAGCGGTGGTGTAGCAGTTGGCGCTACGCTGCGCTATGAACCCGATTCCCGCTCACAGCCAACACCAGTGACGATTATCTGAACCGGTTCTGGGCCTCCCCTAGGTCGACTCAGCCTCAAATGAGTACCTGGTGTGGTGTGTAAACATCGCCACTGGGGAGACAAAGACGGTCGGGCGTGGTGCTGGCCACCCACCCCCTCGTGTACCGTTCCGGCCTTCATAGGTGCTCGCTAACAGCACTTGCCCCGACAGTCTATTAAGGCTACAACGGGGGGATCTTTGTCTATTGTTTCCACTGCTCCGCAAATGACAATTCAGTGCATTCAAGTGACAACATTTTAACATGTATATATTTTGTGTTATTCCACGCGGCATATATCAGTGATTTAGACGAGCGTGAGACGCCCCTGCCACTGCCTCTCCCGCCGCTCGTCTCTTTCTCTCGCCGTTCCGAGCACAAATCCTGCAAAGGTCTCCCGAGAGGCAGCGAGACGAGGAGGTGGTGGTGGTGGTGAGGAGGAGGACGAGGACGAGGCGGGATTCATTGGAAAAGCTGAGAGAGGAAGGCGGAAAGTCGAACCGCCAACTTCCACCCCGCGATGATGGTTCAACGTTGGGAATGAGTTCTTATTTTTTTATGTTGTTGAAACGTCGCAAAGAGGCAAAGCTTCCTCCCCCCGGGGAATGAAACTTGTTGTTCTGTATAAACGTTGTTTTTATGTGAATGTAGTTTATAAAATGTTTTCTCTTTTACTGTATCGGCAGACCATTAATCGTAATTACCTCATTCAATTCTGGTTAGGTGACTCGTTAATGTTTCATCACGCACTCAAACTTCTCTTTATGAATGTAATAATCAGGTAATTACCAAGTTCATCAGGGCCGTATAACCAATTTTCATTTTTGGCACTCTCACTTCAAGCATCGTCACCCCCCGTATTGAATTCACAGCACATTAATGGTGCACGGAGTCGTGTGTGCGTGCGTGTGTGTGTATGTGTGTGTGCGTGTGTGCGTGTATGTGTCCATATGTGTATGTGTGCGTGCGTGTGTGTATGCGTGTGTGTATGTGTGTGCGTGCGTGTATGTGTGCGCGTGTATGTGTGCGTGTGTGTATGTGTGCGTGTGTATGCGTGCGTGTGTGCGTGTGTATGCGTGCGTGTGTGTGTGCGCGTGAGTGCGCGTGTGTGTGCGCGTGATTGTGCGTGTGTGTGTGCGTGTGTGTGCGTTATAGATTTAAGTCGTGGTTTCGTGGTAATTTTTTGAAGGTGGAGGGGTTACCAGCCCCTCGCACCCGTCCAGAGCCCCCGTTTAGCCACTGTGGTGGGCACAGACGCCATGAGGGGAGGGGCCAATCGGAATTGGCCCTCCCCCCACAGCACTGTCCACGACAGAGTTACGCGTCCGGCACCGCGAGGAGGTAGGGGGTTGTATACCGGGAAAGGTCCTGGCAAGGATTATTCAACATCGCCTTGCCAGGCACGCTGAGGAGAGGCTTGCGGAGCCCCAATGCGGTTTCAGGAAAGGGCGGTCCTGCACAGATGCCATATTTTCTGTCCGTCTGCTACAGCAGAGGTGTAGGGAATTCCAACAAGACCCACATCTCTGCTTTATTGACCTGGTCAAGGCCTATGATACCATCAGTAGGCCTGGGCTCTGGGTTGTTCTTCGTGCTTTTGGAGTCCCTGACCCTCTGCTCACGATCATTAAGGACCTTCATGATGGTGAGCGGGCCCGGGTAAAACTACATGGCCGGGAGTCAGAGCCATTCCCTGTACACCTTGGGGTGCGACACGGATGTCCTCTGGCTCCCACATTATTTAACATCTATTTTGACCACGTAGTTCGTGAAGCCTTCAATAGCTGTACCTGGGGAATCTCCATTTGGTACAGATATAATGGGAGGCTGATCGATGCCCGGGTGCGGTCAAGGGATGGCTCCCTATTGCTCAACCACGTTATGTATGCCGATGATTTGGTAATAGCTGCTCATTCAGAGGTGGAGTTGGAGACGCTGCTGCTGAGACTGGAGCATGCCACTAAGAGATGGGGCCTTACCATCAGCCCCACCAAAACTAAGCACCTGCCTCGGTATTTTGTACCATCGGACACTCCACCTCCACAACTCCCAATCAGTGATGGGGCAGTTGTGGAGAGAGTGGAGAGTTTCCCATACCTGGGCAGTGTGTTTATGACCGGCTCCAGTTTAACAGCAGAGGTCTCACTCCGAATCAGTCGAGCGGCAATATCTTTTCATCGGCTGCGTAACGCTGTGTGGAAGCTACCTGGTCTGTCGCTCCGCACTAAGCTTCAGGTCTTCTCGGCCACGGTCATTCCCTCCCTTCTCTACGCTTGCGAAACGTGGACACCCTTAATGGAACATCTTCGCTGGTTAGAAACATTTAGGCTAGCCTGCCTACGATCCATCCTGGGTTTAACCAGGCTGGATTGTGTGAGGAGCTCACAAATCCTTGAAAGATCTGGGCAAGGTCCCATCGGTGAGCTCCTCCGGCAGGCAAGGCTGCGTTGGCTGGGTCATGTAGCCCGCATGCCCAGCCACCGTATGCCTAAACAGCTTTTGTTCGGCCGGATCGAGGGGTCTAAACGGGCGCGGCACGGGCTAGAGAAGAGATGGAGTGATGTGGTACAGGAAGACGTGGAGCTGAGTGGACTTGCCGATGACTGGTACCAGCGGTGTCAAGATCGGCCTCTGTGGAGGAGGCTCGTGAAGGACGCTACTGGGCAGTTGGAGGCAGTCGCCCTCCAACAACAACGGAGGGTGGAGGAGCGACGCTCACAACAACGAGCGGAGCGCCGGGTGGCTAAAGCACAGTAGGTTGGCACAGTAGGGGGCACAGGTGGTGCATCAGCCAGTCATCTCAGTCATCTCAGTCAGTCGACCCGTGGCACCTGGGTCTGCCCCGTGACCTCCTGCCAGCGGGCGTTCGACACTTCACGTGGCCTCAAGGTGCACATGGCCTGGCACAAGCGTCGTGGTGACGTCACCGCCACTTAGTGGCGAATGGCGGTTGTTGTTGTGTGTGCGTGCATGTATGTGTGCGTGTGTGTGTGTATGTATGTGTGCGTGTGCGCGCGTGCGTGCGTGTGCGCGTGTGCGTGGTTGGGAGCAGTAGTGTAGCGGTGAGCGCGTGCCGCGCTACGAACCCGGGACACCTGAATTCGATTGCTGCTCACGGCCAACGCCAGCGATTATTATTTGAATCGGTCCTGTGCCTCACCTAGGTTGACTCTGCCTCAAATGAGTAACTGGTGCGGTGTGTAGTAAATATCGCCACTGGGGAGATGAAGGGGCCGGGCGTGGTGCCGGCCTTGATAGACGCTCGCTAACAGCCCTTGCCCCAACAGTCTGCTGAAGGCTACACGGGGCATCTTCGTCTTTGTGCGTGCCATCACGCTTGACGCACGCGTGGCGATCTGATGACCGGTTTACTTTGAAACTTTTATTAATTCGTTCGAATTGCCTGGTGTGACTTCACGACATTCCTTCAGCATTCTAAACTAAAACAATTTTTATTTTACCAGGCAAGGCCCGCTGACCTATGGCGCTTTTTTTTCAGAAGCGACCTGGCCACGAATGATAACTCAACGAAGTGGCTTATCACGTGGAAATGTACAGCAGCCAAATGCTCTGAACGCGTTGATGTTGATTCTGAACGTGGAGGGGAAAAACCAGAGGACACATTCTGAGCCCGCACCAGCCGTACACTGTGGAGAAAGACTGTGGATGCCGTTGAATTCCGAGGGCTGCTGCTATCATTATTAATATTGTCCCCGTTTCCCCACCAGGGCCCCCGTCGTTGCATTGCTGTTACAATCTTCGCAAAAATTATCTCATTCCGAATTCTAAATTAGCAAGCCGGTTAATAATGAGAATGATAAAAAAAAGAGTTGGCGATGCTGCGGTGGCAGTGGTCCGCAAGCACTCATGATAAAGCTGCGTGCTGTGAAGAAGGATCATTACCTGAAACGTCCCCCATTACATGTATATATTTTTCTTTTTTTAAGGCCACAACCGTGTTATTGACGAGTCTGTCGATACCAGATTGGCCTCGTCAGCTATCTTCCGACCCACAGATGAGGCAGTGATGGGAGGAAATCCTCCTGGACTGTGAAGGATTGCCAAAGAAGCATGATAATTTTTTGACGAATGTTGAGTTTTGTCGACAAAATTTGTTTAACAATAAGGTGCTAGATCTCAGTTCGAGAAGTGACCAACCACCTGGGGTGTCCCCCTCCCTCCCTCTCTCAAGTCGTGCAGTTTCGCATCGTGACCTTCTGGTTCCGTGAGAAAGAGCTGGCCATGGCGTTCGGGGTGACGATCGCTTTCTCGAGACTAGGCAGCGTTCTCAACTTCCTCTGCACCGAGAGCTTCGAGCACCGCTTCGGCCTGGAGGCGACGCTGTGGGCCGGTGTTTGTTTAAACGCACGCACGCACACACGGCCACACACGCACAATAAACACAAAGACAAAAATGCCTCTCCATGTAGCCTATAATAGACTGTTGGGGCAAGTGCTGTTAACGAGCACCTTTGAAGGCAGTAATGGGTGGGATGGTCAACACCACGTCCAGTGCTTATTTTTATACACCGCACCAGGTACTCATTTGAGGTTGAATCAAGCTAGGAGAGGCTAGGTACCGGTTCGGATAATCTTCACCGGTGTTGGCCGTGAGCGGGAATCGAACTTGGGTTCGTAGCCACTGCACTACGGCTCCCCACATAGACAAACACGCACACACTCAAACACAGACAAACACGCACACACTCAAACACACAAACACGCACACACTCAAACACACAGACAAACACACAGACACACACAGACAAACACACAGACAAACACACAGACACACACAGACAAACACACAGACAAACACACAGACAAACACACAGACAAACACACAGACACACAGTCACTCGGAGCTGAGCGCAAACTGATAAACGATCATAAATCCCATTTGATTTTGTCAGCGATATATCTCGCCGTGCCCTTTTCGGAGCAACCCATATTTTTTCCAGTGCATGCATTTCATATCAAGTGGAGAATTATCAGTGGCAGGTGCAGAGAATGGGATGGAAAAAAAACCCATAAATGTATTCTGGCTTGGGAAGCCTGGCAGGGAACTGGGCGGTGGCGGGCTGGGTACGGGGTGCGAGACCTCGCCGGATCCGCATGGCGGAACGCGCCGCTCGCCGCCGAGGGGAATCGATGCGGCTCCTCCGGTACGGAGATACGCCGAGCGATAGCGAGACGATAGCCCCCCCCCCCCACCAACAACGCCCGGACGCGGTGGCCCCCACGCGCCGGCTCCTTTGTGAAATGAGAAACCACACCTGTGAGAGCCGTGCGTTTATTCGACAGTAATTTTCAATGTGCCAGGATACCCACCCCAACGCCCCCCCCCCACAGGGGAACCAGACAGAGCGATCGCTCATTCAGCCGCCCCCACGCCTAAATCTGCCACCGGACTTTCGAGCGTGGGCTTTCTGTGGCTGTCCACCTCCCGTCAGGATAATTATTAATCCCCTTCTCCCGGTGGCGGCGGTGGCGTGGAGCAGGGGCAGTGCTGTGCGCCGTGAGCCTTGTAGCTGCCTGCACCGTGGGCCAGATGGACCAGAGGGGCCTGCAGCAGCTTGGAGTCTACGCCGGACTGCGTCGCGAAGCCAAGAGCGTGGTAACCCTCCCGCCCACCTAACCCCCCCCCCCCCAGATCACGTACTCGGGGCATGCGTGTGGCCGCACCGCCTGGAAGTTTCGCATCATCGATGGATTGATTGATTGTTGTTGTTGTCAGCCTGTATTTTCCCCCAGTTGCTCCTCTTTAGTAGAGCCGTTACCAATCGATGATCTGCAAAACTGCGCCCATTGGTCACCCGACGATCTACGGACCATGACCGCAATCGGTGCCGCCCTGCCGAGTTCCTCTTTGTTTCTTTAGCGCGACATTTTTGAAACGAGTTCTACGGCGAGCAGCTGAAACATTTGGGCGATATTTCCCAAAACGGTCAGCACCAGATGGTATAAAAAAATAGCATATTGTCCTGTAGCCTTGGACCAAACGGTGAAGCTGGGCAGTCAGAAAGATGGATGAGCGGTGCGGGCGGGAGGATGAATGAACGGACGATTAAAATTATTCCACAGCTGGCGCTGACGTGAACCAAGTGAACTGTAACCGGATGGGCCCTCGTGCCCAAAGCCGATTTCTCCTCGTGGATCCGTCCGTCCATCTCCCATTGTCCCCGCGAGGATTAACCCTTCGCCCCCTTCCGAGACGTCTGCAAGTTGCAATGTGGGTGTCCCCTTCACTGCCGGATCTCGGAACTCGCGAGCGGTTGCCGCTAATTTTATTTTAGAGAGGCGCAGCGCCGTTGTTGTTTTATTTAAAGACGTCATACTCGCCGCGGAGAACCGCGGCGAGTACGACCGCGCTCTACGATGGCTGGCACCAAACCGTGCCACCCGCCCTCCCGCATGGCCTTGTGGGAGCCCTCGGTAAGTCTTCTGATCCGAAGACGTACCGATGAAGTTGTTTTAGCTTTTTGTTCCGACGACGTACATCGTACGCCACCGGAACGGAATCGGAAGACAAATATGGTGAGGTACGCGTACGTGATCGGAATGGGAAAGAGGCCAATAATCCTCGCGCAATCGGTGAGGTGCGTGGGTGTGTCGCTCTCTCTTTTCTTCGGTGCAGAACATCACAGACATCCGCCGCTTCAAGCTCACCTACTGGATGCTCGTCCTCGCCACCGTCTTCTTCTACAGCACCGTCTTCCCATTCATCGCCAACGGCAGGTCCGCGCCTGTCGGCACGCGCAAAGCACCGGGTCAGAAAACGAGACGCGTCGCGTGATATATATGTAAGTTTCCCCACAGCTAATGCTAGTGGGGAAACTAAAGAATTGATCAAACGAACCTTTGGTGTGCGTGCCAGCCACATGAACAAACTCGCCGTCAAAAAGCAGCCACAGTCTGGCGGCATTATCCCGACCGCCATTCCCCTTTAACGACCAACTCGCGCCGAATGCGCCGCCCAACCTCGTCGAGCTGCTGGAAGTGCAGTGCCCGGTGCGCCTCGTGAGTTCGCCCTCGCTGCGCGGAGATCGCCTGGCGAGGATCAAATCTTGCCGGCTCCAGCCGCGAGGTGGGCAGGAGACGGCAGGATGTCGATGCCTTCACGAATCGACCCCGCGTGCGCGCGTGCGAGATAATCGCACGACGCAATCGCGGCCGTTTGCACCGTGCATCGACCGCCGCATATTCACCCACGCGGGGCGGAGAGGCGGCGGCGGCGGCGGCAGTGGTGAGTGCACTGCGGCATGGGCACGGCGAAAGCCGAGTTCGATTCCCAGCTACGGCTAACGTCAGGTGGCGGAGTGATACCGCAACCGGTCCTGGACCCTTACCAGCCGCCCCCCCCCCCCCCGACCGCTCCCTAACTTCACCAGCAAACACCGACCAGCGTGGTGAAGTATGGTCAAATAACGCCCGTGACGGACACGTGTCGAGTGAATCGACCAAGGCTATACATTTATTATCCTTCCAAGTGTTTTACTTTCATTCTTGTACAGGGAAATTGAGTTTTCAGGTCCACACGGCACACAGCCGTTTCAATACGGGGACACAAAAAGTTTTATTCTATTTGTTTGTGTTTCTCCCTTGTGATGGGACTTTGTAGGATGAGACTTATAAGGGGCACGGGCGCGAGCAATAAGGTCTGAATTGGTCTGTAATAAGGCGGGCACTGATAAGGGGTTGACAGGTAGGTAGCAGTGGAGTGTACAGTAGTGGAGTGTGTAGTGAAGTGTATAGGATGAACGTTGAGATTCATAAGGGCACGGGTTGACCAATAAGGTCTGAATTGGTCTGTGATAATGTGCGCACTGATAAGGGGTTGACAGGTTTGAGCTCCCTGTACGCACAGCACGTGCGCGCACTTGCCGCCGAGCGTTGGCCGAGTGTTGCAGAGAAGGAGGCGTCACGAGGGCGCCTCGTCGCGCCTCGTCGCGCCACGTGCGGTGTCCACGTCGCGCACGGCCACCGCTCGCCTTGAGCGGGCACGGGAGGAGGAGGAGGAGGAGAGGAGGAGGTGGTGCCACAGCAGCAGCAGCAGCGCCACCACCTCCCAGCAGGTGGAAGCATCGAGCCTGCAGCGAGCGGGCAGGGCCACATTCAGCACTCGGCTCAGGCCACCCACCAGCAACACCATAGCAGCAGCGTATTTCCACGTTTGGCAAAACGTTTCAAGTGCTACGTGCAGCGGCAAGGCGTACGAAACAAAAGTCCAAAATGGAATCCAACAGCGTCTCGTCTCGCGTTACCACGGTGTGGGTTTGCGGGGCTGCGTGGGGTTAGAACGACTTCGTCGGGGAAAGAATTGAAATTGGAAAGAAACTCGCTCGCTCGCTCAAGGATGGAGACTGCTGGGTCATGGACACGTTAGGAGAGCGTCATCTGACGGCGATTGATGATTGACGACAGTGACGGCGGCTGGAGGCAACAGAGGCTGGAGGTCATCCCCGCGGCGTGAGACGCTGGAGCCTCGGCGTCATGCCGGAGGCACTGGACAAGAAAACGCAGCGCAGATGATCTCATTAGCTAAATTGGAAAGAGAAAAGAGGCCACCAAGCCGCACCTTGCGTTTTATTCGAATGGTACGAATGTCAAACGTACGACGATCATGATTAAGAGGACTGGATATGGACGGCTCATCTATGATAACAAAAATATATATACGGAGGATGGGTGTTTGTGGTCCCAGCTGTCCTCCGTAAAGGGTGGAAGTGACCGTGGGAGATGGGCTGGGTCAGGGTGGTGCCAGTGTCCGTCGTTGGACCGGCGTCTCATCTCAGCAAATGTTTTCCTAGAGGATGATTTCTGAGTGTGATGGATTACACTGTGTAACAAAAAAAAAGTTTTTTTTGTTCCTGGGTAGTAAGTGTTATTTCCTAATTGCTTATGCCTCAAAAGTACAGAAAATGGCTATTATTACTCCTAACAAACTTTGCTTTTGTGACCAGGACAGTGATATTTTGAAATTTACCTATTTTCAATGAGAAAACGTGGTGTGCATTTGTGTCATTCCTTTACATAAAGTCCTGGTCACAAAAGCAAAGCTCGTGGGAATACCCATTTTCTATACTTTTTAGGCATAAGCAATTAGAAAAATAATACTTACTACCCAGGGACAAAAATCGTGTTACATCGTGTTATCAATAAATCCCCTCCGGAGCGATAGGGCCCCACGTTGATGGCCTCGGCGCTCGTTGATGGACCTGGGTCGAATTGGTTCCCCAAACCCCCCCCCACTCCACCCACCCCCGGCCTAAACACGCTTGGGGAGCCGTCAAATCGGGACGAGGAGAGCGGCAGGGGCAGAGAGGGCGTGAGGGAGGGAGGGAGGTGGAGAGAGAAAAAAAGGCAGCGGTGCTCGCAAAACTAAAAAAGAAATCAATTGGGGATACAAATGTGGCCGGGACACTCGACAGCGCCAGGATGCGGTCATTTCTATTGCCGGCTTTGCCAGGGACGGCTGTCGCCATCCCGTGCCGCGTTTCTCAACCCCGTTGCTCGCAATCAGCCCCACGGTCCGGCTTTGTGCGGTTGCCAACTATGGGGAGGGGGCGGATTGATCCGCGTGTGGATCGAAGAGGGATCGGGCGATCACGAAGTTGGCGGGGACGGCAGGGCAACCTGCGATTGAGCGGCGGCTGAGAGCCCGGTGAGACGGCAGGACTTTGGTTTTTAGCTCCAGCATTAGATTGTGGTCTGGGCGTAATGCGTCTCTTTACTCATTCGAGCAGGGCACAGAACGGGGAGCAATTTATCAGAGAGGAAACCTTTACCAATGATACAGAGTAATGTGCAGCATTGCGTTGGGTATTAATGGTTTTGTCGGGGCAAATGCGACACCGGGTAGCGTGCTGAACCATTATAACCCAACTACCTGGGTTCGACTTCCAGTCACGGCTATCATCAGTGGTGCGTGATATAATCTTGTCCCATCCCGTCCCCCCTTTAGCAATCAGCAATGACAGACGCAGTGCGGTATGGTTAAACGACCCCCAGGGAGTGGGGGGGGGGTAAGGAGGTTTTATTCCAGGAGTGGCTTGACAAAGAGATGTGAATGATGTCTGTGGATAAATGAATTGTCAATAATTGTAGAGGCGTTGAACGTAACAACTCTGGATTTTGTTGCCACCACTCGCGGCCGTGCGTCGATCCGCCTCGCTCCTCCGCGTGCGCCGGCCTCGTCTCTCGAGTGGTCCGGCGCTCGCCGCTTTGGGTGATTTCTCACCTTGGGCTGCGATTCCATCGCCAGGGTGCCCGCTGTGGGGAGGTGTTAACTACCTCGCCTGGTATACAGGAGGTCGTGGATTCAATGCAGACCCTGACACCTTAAAATGTGGAGTTTGCATGTCTCTCTCTCTCTCTTTGTCTCCCCCCGTGGTCGCGTAGATTTTTCTCCAGGTCCTCCGGTTTTCCCCTCCACATTGAGAATCAAACTCACGCGTTTAGAGTTATGTGGCTGCTAGACATTTCCGCACGATAAGCCACTCCGTTGAGCTTCGATTTGTGGTCTGGTCACTTCTGAAAAAGAGCTACGTAACTCAGTGGGCCTTACCTGGTAAAATAAAAAATGGTTTATTTTAGCTTTATAAAAAATAAAAAAACAGTTTAATCCTGATTTGAAGCTTTCGTGACTGCAGGAATCCATACTCTTTGGTTCTTTCGGTAAAGTCAAGAAAATAATTTAGTTTTAGAAAAATGAAAATAGTTTAGTTTTCAGTCCCATACATTGGCTGTTGTCCCTTCCAGCCATAATGGCTTCTGTCCGGAGCCACTCGCCTCCCTCTGCAATCGATTCGATGTCTCTGACATTGCATTGCGTTCTCTGATCCAGGCGCTCCTCTTCCCGTCTCTCGCTGTGATGCCCCACGTGAGGTTTCTCCGCGAGTGTCATCACTTGTTCCGTGTTTCTGATCAGTAACACACGCAGAGATCCCAAATACGCGCCGATCGGAGTTATTGATGAATGTGTTGGGTATCCAGGAAACGTCGCGGAAATATTTCGGCAGTTGGGCAGGTGGGGAGTGGGGTGGGAGAGCGCCGACAAACACGTGTGCAGACTGCGAGCCGAATGAAATGTAAACGCAAAAATAAAACATTGCCTCGATGCATGAAGATTACCAAATTTAATACCGTCCCCTGGTATGCCCGACGCATTTCTTCTGGGGTAATAATATGTTTATTATGTGAAGTATGCTCAGGCACCCAACGGACACGAACATCTGCTCGCATCCTCGTCGGCGTTTAGCGCTCTTTGCTTACACTTTGCGATGGGTTTCGTACCGCCACTGGCCCTGAATCACGGCACTTTCACCTCCACTGTTATTCTTCTTATTCGTCTCCGATCAAGTTTAAAATAACATTTCCTCCGACGTGAGCACTTTGAATTGGTGGCGAAAAACCGCAAGCCACTCCAGCGTGTACACTTGTAATTGGGCGGTAACCAGATTATTTAAATGAGGCTTAAATTAATGCCGCATTAATATTTTAACTGCTTCCATGGCCAGGAGTACTGTAGAATAAATTAATAGCAACCGCGCACGAATAATAATAATAATGTTATTGGAGTATTCAATAATGACTTAGCTGTAATGGGTGCCTTGGGCGAGTTGTGGTACGAAGCGAAAGCAGAAAACGTCGTGAGGTTGTACACGTGGCCACGTATGGAGGGGGGCGCCCTTTTGGACGAGAGCCTCTCCACGCCGTGCAGATAGTGGGGGGCTCTT